TAATAAATAACCTACATCATTTAACTAAAGATTTGAGATTATTTATGTAAAATTCTTACTTGATTAATATGTATTATTACAACACAAGATCAGTAATTTATATGAATATGAGTATAATATAAATAAATAGAGCAAATTTAATATTAATAGCAGGTTCATTGCTTGTAAGTGGTAGAATATTATTTCAATCATTCTTCTATACTCTTGATGGAGGAAAAAGAGGATTAATTTTTGATCCATTTTTTATATATTTTTATAAATTTGAATAAAATATGCAATTAAATTATATATTTAATAAAAAACAAGAAAATTTATCTAGAGTTAAATTAGATTGAAACTTTCATCATTTTTATTTTAATGGATTCTAATTTACATTCAATATATATATTTATTTACTCAGATTAAAAGGTTAAAAAATATTTTATGTATTATTGTTTAAGAATTATTGTTTGCCAAATTAACAAAAATTAGTGAAGGTTTGATAAATTGAATAAACTTTAATAAATTCAAAAACTTCTAAAATAAACATTTAATATTCATTTAGTTTCTAGCAAATGAATACTGTAAAACAACTATTTGGACCTAAGATAACTATAACTATTATCAAAAACAATTCTATAAAGTCCTGGGTTTGATATAACAGTGACTCCAATGATTGGTTATTTATGAGATTCAATTCTTTAAAGTTTGATCAAGGATTTAACTCCATTTCTTTCATTAAGATAATCTATGATTCCCAAATCTTCAATAGTTAATAATTTGAATAGTCCAAATGAGACATCATAATCTAGAGTTCTGAAACTCCAGAATATTAATGAATTAGGTTTATCAACCATGAATGAATAACAATAGATAGATGCAGCTTAAACGATAGCATAACAAGGAAAGGCTGCTTAAATGTTTAAGTTTCTTAGAGATGGTACAGTTTATGACTCGTCAACATAACTTAAAGCTTTAACAGAGAAGTATCTAATTAAATAAAAATAACAATTTACTTATTTTCTCTTAGATAAGCCAGATCTTCATCTTCAAGAAGAGACTATTTAAATTTATCATCGTAATCTGATGAATGAATTAATTGATACAAAAAAATAGTAATTTCTTTGTATTCTTATGCATCCTTATGTAAAAACAGAGATAAATTACGCATTACTAATTATAATGGTCCCATTAAAGCAATTCTCAAATCAGGAATGTATTTATATAAGACTTTAATCATGAGGTAAACTCTTTTTTAAAGTATAATTTCTTCAGGTAATACTAATATCATATTCAGTAATTGAGCACAACTTTTATACATGTTGGATATTTAATGTAAAATCATTTGTTTTTCTATTTTAATATAGTAAGTTCTGGATTGCATTTCTTATATTGTATATTATACATCCAAAATATACCTTTCATAAATCCCTAAAAGTTAAGTGAGGAAGTTCGCCTATTATTTTTCTTCCATCTATCTAATCATTAAAAGATATTCGTAAATAAGTTCTTAGAGATGACCTCCAAAAAGATAATATTAATCTATAATGCTTTCACAAGAAGATAATACTATCTACAATTATTTAATAAAAAGACTGTTGTTATCCTAAAATGATTTCAAAGCCACTTTCAATAAACTTAAATCTGATTACTTCTTATCAATATATTTAACTTATAAACCCATTAAGAGTTCATCTATATGTAATTCCAAAGATGTATGTCTCAATTATTATTATAAATTCAATAAACTATTGGCTAGATCCACCATAGTTCTTTCGGCACCTCTCTAATGAAGAAGTCTATTTGCTATTATTTTTCTTTGCATTATTGCATCCAATATTATGATAGAGCTTCTGACTTATTGAGGATTAGTGGATGAAAGATGTTTCATTAGTTTTCTTAATAATTGAAGATTTAGTAAATCTTAGAGTTAAGGCTCATCCTTTATATCCTATCCAAGTTATTCTATAAAATGAAGCATTCCTTTAACTTCATTGTTTTCAAAGCATTCATTCAATTTAGTCTATAATTCTAATTGATATTGTTGTAATAATGGAGTGATTAATGGTGATTCAGACATTAATTAATATGAATTTAAACGAAAATGCATTACTTTAACTTGGTACTAGAATAGCTGTACCTAGGAGAGCTACTGTGTTTAATTATACTAAAAAAGGCTTGAATTTAAGACCTGATAGTCCTAAAACTAGAGAGGCATGTTTAGCTTTAGGTTATGATCCTTCTATCTTTAAACTTAAGTATTTTACAATTGAATTTAGAAAATTGGATGAATTTGGTGGACCTACAGTTCCTGAATCTGTTTAAAAAATGAGATATGATCATTATGTAAGAAAAATGGAAAGTATATTCTCCATCTTAATTGAAAAGTTACATTCAAGGAGATCTCCAAAAAGAGAAAGTAAATTATTAAGAAGAACAAAGGATTACAAAATATTTAATTAGAAAAATCATTTCATAGAGATGAAGGGTATCTCCTAATACTCATTTACATTTTATTAGTTTAGTCAATGATTTAATAGAAGCTTACAATAAAAAGATAGTAAACCTTAAAATTGAAGAACAAGATGATGATAATTCCTATGAATCTTTTGATGAAGAAGATCCTGTTCTAGTCTTAGAGGAATAATTAGAAAAAGAAATTAAAAAATATAAAAGAGCTCTTGGGGTTAAAGCTAAAGAAATTCATCATTAGTTAGAAAATGAAAAGAGAAGACATTTATTGTAATAAGAAATGGAAGAAAGAGAAAAAAAAATTGCTGAATTAAATGAAAAAATAAAAAAGGAAAAATTATTGAAAAAAAAAAAAAAAATTGAAGCAGCTTAAAAGAAATTTAATGAAATTAAAAATAAAGAAAAATAATTTAATCTTAAATAAATTGATGAAAGAAAGAGATAATTAGAAAGATTTGAAGAATTAGGAAGAAAATTAAAACTTGATGAACAAATTAAAAAAAAAGAAATTGAAGAACATGAAAAAACATTAAGATAAAAGTTTGAAACTGTAAGAGCAAATAAAAAAAAATTTGATAAATTTATGGATGATAAAATGACTCTTACTTTATCTAATTTATAAGTTAAATGTAATTTTTATTAACTTAACTAATAGAAAATGAATGTAATACAAATAAAGAGAAATTTACTTGGGAAAGTAAATTAGAAAAATTAACTATGCGAAGTTCACATTATGATGATAAATTAAGAAAAATAAAATTATAAACAGAACAGAGAGAAGCAGAAACCATTCAAAAAGTTTTAGAAAAAATGCATAATAAAGAATAAGATTTATAGAGTATAATTTTTTATTAAAAAAAACTTAGTGCTGGAAAAGTAAAAGTAAATGAATGAACAAGCCAAAATAAAAGAAGAACTTTCAAAGCGAAAAAAAGCTTAAGATTGTTTAAAAAGAATTTAATCCTTATAATTGCAAAGAGTTTCAGATCTAGAGAAAAAATTTATGGATCAAGATGAATTAAGTAGTAGAAGAAAAGATGAATAAGATATTTAAAAAAGTCTAAAAAAAGAAAAAATGAAAATTAAATAATAAGATTTAATTGAAAATTATTAGAGATAAGAAAGACTTAAGGATCTGAGATTCAAATAAGTGATAAAAAATAATTAATAATTAAATGAGCAAAAAGCATTAGAGAAACTCTCTATGGAGTTGGTAAGAAAAGCTCAATAAGAATTGTAAAGAAAACTTAAACAAGAGAATGAACATCTAGATCGAAGTTTAGTTTCTGTAAATTAAGCAGATAATAAATAGATGGGGTATTTATTTTTTATTATTATCAAAGAAACCTTGTATAATAATTAGAAAAAAGTTTAATGCAATATTCTTAATTTATTTGACCAAATTTTTATATAATAATGAATTAATAAGATTCATTCTATTTCTTTTTATCACATAAAAATATGGTGCAAATAATTTCATAAAAAATTTTCTCAATATTAAAAATTAACTATATTGAAATTTTAATAAAGTGGTTAGACTAAAAAAGAAAATATAGAATTATTTATTTTATGCTTTTTCTTATTAAAAATATAGGAATTTGTTAAAATAATTGATATGATAATTGTTTTAATAAATTCAATATAAAGAATTGAATTATGGCATTTTTAAAGAAATTATTTGGATAAAAAGCAGATTCATAATCTTCTCTTTATAAGACCAACTTAAATGAAATTTATAATAAATCGCCTTTTCAAAAAAAATAAATAACTTCAACGATTCAAGATTAAAAAAAATTAGAGCAGTTTGAACTAGTATTAGAACAGTAAATAATTGATTTAGAGGCTCTTAAGAAATTGACATGGAGAGGAATACCTAATGGTATTGATTTAGATAAATATAACTAGAATATAGAGCAAAAGTATGGAAATTAATTGTAAAATACATTCCTCCTAATCACATGAGTTAGACAACAATTTTGTTAAAGAAAAGATAAGATTATTAATAATACATAAAGAATTACTATGAACATATGAATGAACAAGAGAGAGATGAAAATGAAAGGAAAATAATAAAAATAATCTAAAATGATGTATTAAGAACTCAGCCAGATTATAAACTCTTTAGAGATCCTAGAATTTAAGAAATGTTTAAGAGACTTTTATTTATATGGAATATGAGACATCCGATGAGTGGTTATGTTTAAGGAATAAATGATGTGGCATCACCTTTAGTTGTAGTATTCTTGAATGAATATGTTGCAGTAGATTTCAATTCTTTTGATGTTCCTTCTAATTTTGATAAATTACCAGAAGATATCTTAATCGATATAGAAGCCGATATTTATTGGTGCTTATGCAAAATAATTGAAAATATTTAAGATTTTTTCACTGCAAATTAACCAGGTGTTTAGGAAGCGTATGTGAAAATAAGGGAATTGATCAAAATAGTAAAAAATTAATAAATACTGTTAAGCTTGACTATCCCTTATATCAATATTTTGAAGATCAATAAATAGATTTGAATCATTTTGCTTTTAGATGGGTTCTATGTCTTTTAATAAGAGAATTTCCATTATCTTTGACAATTAGATTACTAGATACATATTTGGCCGAAGGAGATGAGATGGTAAATTTACATGTATATACAGTTACAAACTTAATTCTAAAATGTGCACCAGAAGTAAATTATAAAAATAAAAATAGATTAAATCAAAGAATATGAGTGAAGCTGTCATATTTTTATAGAATTTACCAACAAAAGAATGGACAGAAGTGCAACTTGAAATGCTGTTGCAAGAAGCTTTTGTATTTCAAGATCATTTCGAAAAAACAAAAGGCCATCTAAAATTAAATTAAGGTAATACAATTAGAAGTAGCATTCTCTGATTACTATAAGATATAAAGAGAATATATCATTTTTACATCATCTTTTCTTTCTAGAATTACTCATTTCTCTTAATTTCCAATAAGGTTTATTTTCATCTTTAATATTAAATCTTTTTTATTTTATCTATTCATGTTCTATAACTTCTGTTTCTTCATTTAATTTAATTTAAGAATCAATTTTCTAAGGATTATTGAATTCCTCGCTTCTTGGAGAATTATGAAAATTACTTGAGTTCAATCCAATTGATTCTAATATTCTATTCTACTCTTAATCTAAAATAATCATTATTTTCTTGCATTCTAATTTACTAATTTATACATCACTTCCTTTTTTTGATTAAAAGTATGGTTTTTTAGTAGGAATTGTTTTTTAGACAGGCATAAAATTTTCTTCTTAACAAGATAATTTGCGTTAATAAATTTATTATGATGGACAACAATTTTGTTCTTCATCATTAATTATATCTTCTTTTGAATTATCATTTAGAAATGCAAAGCTTTCATCTTTAGTTGATTACATAAATTAAGCAGTTCCTGGAGTTTCAATCTATTTTACTACTATTATGTCCTCATTCTATTAGTTTGAGACTTTAAATGTAATTCGATTAGATGGTTAATCTGAATCTTAATTAAAAATTTATAGAGGATTAGGTATCTTCTATTTTTTTTTTAATAATTATTCTTTTTCATACGATAATTCTTTTTTATTTTCACTAATACAATTTCTTTTTCTATTCATTAGGATATTTTAAAAAGGTGATGCTTCTTAACCTATTCTTTTTGGAGAGACATCTTAATTTTGGATTGTTTTAAGTTTTTTCAAAAAGATTTCTTAATCTCTATTCTCGATTTGATCATTTGAATAAGTGTAACATTTTTTTTAATTTTACTATTACAATATAATATCGGGAATAGAGTTTTATTTCTTTCTTTCTTAAAAGTTAATTTAGCTGTATAAGTTTTATTTTTGTAATGAATATTCTAATGAATTTTTTCTTTTATCTGGTGTTATTTGTATTTTTGAATAAGAGTTTTGATGATTTAATTATTAAAAACCTTAGTTAAAATTTATATGTCCATTTCTAACAAGTATCTGTTAATTTAATTTAAGCATAATTTATATTTATAGTATAATCAAAGCATTTCAATAAACTTGATTTAGGTTCTTATTTAATCATCTTTTAATAAGGCTTAGTTATTATGCTTGTACTCTTAAATCAATGAATATACATTAAAATGGAAGGAACTATAGAAGGAGACTGAACTTCAAATTCTTTTAATACTGTTGGTCAAACTATATTTATTTTACAAGAATCTCTTATTAAGGTTATTTCAATTACTTTCATTTCAAGTCTTTTTAACAAGATTTTTATTAGGTATCAAATTTAGTTAAGGCTTGAGGCAAAGTTTTATTAAATTTAATAAATTTTAAAACATTTTCTTTCTTATTTTGATAAAATAATTATGTATCTTTTCCTTTGGCTGTTCCAATTGGAGATATTTAAAGATAAGCAAAATTTTAAGAAGTAAATGTATGATTTAGTTTATTCAAACTCAATTAAGAATTATTTTGATGTATTTGAAAATCATAACATTATCATAAAGAAAAATCAATTTCATAAATTATTTATTTTTTACATAATATTCTTGATGGGAAAATCAAAATTATTAAACTCTTCTGTATTGATCTTTTTTATAAAAATTTTGGCCACTACATTTTATAAGACCTTTGATGTTGAAATTTAAAAAAGTGATAATAATTTATTAGTATAAATATATATATATGATTATATTAAATTTCAAAGATTAATTAAAACTTAAATCATAGCATACCAATAAATTTATTGTTAAGATTTCTACTGCTTCGATCCTTAGCAAGTAAAGATGGACTAGGGGCCTATCTTAAATCAATTATGACTTCTTCTTCTATTTACTCACTGAACTATTATTCTAGTTTTTTGCTTTGCTATTTTTCACGTAATATATTATCATCACATGTACTTCCTAATCTTTCTAAGCCATCAATATCTCCTTTAATTAAATTTAAAGAAAAGGGTTCCATTTATAATGTTTTTGGAGAGAATTCAGATTTAATACTTAGTTGAGGCATTACAATGGTTTGCTTTTATTGTATAGGAAAATTTTAGCAACAGCCCATAAATTTATTTATTTATTTGTTCAAAAAGATAGAGTTGATTAAACTTATTTATAAACTATCAATATTTATAATTAATATGATGTCAGTATGAAATATGAATTTCTTTTACTTAAAAGAAGAGCTTACTTTACCAGATATGATAAAAATAAAATCTATATAATAAATTTAAATATCTATAGCAAGATATCTTTTGTACTTTGAGTTTAAATTTTGAATTCTATATTCAAATGATGAATTTTCAAATAGGGAGTTGTTCAATAAAATATTTTAATATTTTATATTTGAATAAATTAATTTAACTCCTGGTGAAGTTAATTAAGATGAAAACATTAAATATTTTTTAAATCTTTATGAGTAATAATTTGTTCAACGTTCTAAACTTCTCTGATACAGAAGAGGCTCCTGAATAACCACAAAAAAAGAATAAAAAAAACAATAATAAGGAATAGATTATCCCTGTTGAATAAGTAGTAAAAGAAAATACACAACACAACAATCCTGCTCCAAAAGTTAAAGGTGTCACTGCTGATCCACATCCTAAAGATAGATAATCTGGTACTGGAAGAGGCAAAGAGTAACGTAAAGAAGGTGGTGGCAGAAATAATTGGGGCAATTACAAAGATGACCTAAAGGAGGATAAATACGTAGCAAAAGAAAAAAAACCAGTTGATACTCCTTAAGAAGTCTAAAATGAATAGACAACTTAACCTGTTTAATCATCACCCCCAGAAAAAACTTTGGCTGATTATTACTAATAAAGAGGCGCTGTATCAATATTTATATTATTTTTTAGAATGTTGATGAAGTCTTAAAATAAGGGGAAGTCAAATAATAAGCTCCTAAAAAAATTGATGAAGAAGCTTTAAAAAAAGAAAAATTAGTAGTTGTTAAAACAAGAGAAGATGAAAAAAGAGAATAAGAATAAAAGTAAAAAAAAACAAGATAATAATAATAATAATACAGATCTGAATTGAATACTTAAGCTGCTGAGTATTTAGGATTCACTAATTAAACATAAGAAAGGAATGAAAGAAGAGGTGAAAGAAGATAATAAGAATAGACATAATAACCATAATAATAAGAATAATAATAATAACAATAATAATAAGAAGGTGAAGAGTAAGGAGGAAGAGGAGAAAGAAGAGGCGAAAGAAGAGGTGAAAGAAGAGGAGAAAGATAAGAAGAATAATAATAAGATTAAGAGCATTAAAAAGGTGAAAGATAAGAAAGAGGAGAAAGATAATATAGAGGAGATAGATAATACAAAGGTGATAGATAATACAAAGGTGATAGATAAGACAGAGGAGATAGATAATTCAAAGGAGATAGATAAAATAGAGACAATAATACTAGAGATTAAGAAAGAGGAGAAAAGACTAGAAGAGGAGGTGATAGATAAGAAAAGAAACCATAATAAAGATAATAAGTAAATATAATTTATTTATAGAATAGGAATAAGGAATTCAATTGGATGAGAAGGATTTCCCAGCTCTATGAAGGTGATGAGTATAATACACATATAGTACATATATAAATCTTAATTAAAATAAATGAATCAAAATCTCGAAAATGCCATCGATTTAGAGAACGATGAACTCATTGTTGAAAACTGTATTTCTATCTTTTTTACTTAGACAATAATGATGATTAGGATGACTAATTAGTTTCATAATTGCAAGAGATTCTAATATCGGATGATTTTGAAAAATTATCTTAAGATTTCTTACGTGAGAAATGTTTAGTTTTTGATGAAACAGAATAAAAGGAATACAGAGATATTTTTAAATTATACTAAAGTGCCATTTAGTTATATTTGAATGAAGTATTATAATGATCAAGCCAATTTAGAAACTTAAAGTTGAACTAACTCTTGGAAAATTATAATCTCTTCCCTTAGATGAGGCTATAAATGAAACTTTAGCTTCATTATTTGATTATGATTTATTTAAAGACATTATGGTAGAAACCAGAATTAGAGTTGAAGAGGAAGAAAGGACAATTAAAAAAAGTACCAACAAAGCTACCAAAGGCTATAAATAAGCACCTTAATAAAATATCTTTAGTACAGGATAAGCAATATAATAATTTGAAAAGAAACCATTAAAAAATGTAGCATCTATTTAAATGTTATAGTAACCACCCTAAGACTTGAGAGCAGACTTATTTTTCAATATAGTACCTTTAAACACTCCAAAAATTAATAGAAAATAAGCTTGAGTATTCAAAAAAGATTGTTTATATTTATAATCATGATTATTTAACTAACACTCTATGGGATTATGATTGCCATTTATTTTTTACAAGTCTTTTTTAAGGTGCAGTACCTGGTCTTAACAATGGTTTTATTTATTGCCTATCAGATTTAATATTGAAAAGATTCATCTTTTTTTCTTCAACAACTTAATTTAAAGGTAGTTTTTTAATCAACCAATTATCAGTAGTTTGTCTTCTAAGTTTTATAGGAAGTTAAGTGCTTTAATTTTTAACTTAATTTATAGGTTCAGGTTAAGATTTCGATAAATTTTTGAATTGACTTAAACTTAAAAAAAAAAGAATTACATTTAATAATAAGGAGGAATGTATTGGCTAATGATGAATTTATTCCATTAAACTTTTTTAGAACCTACATCTCTTCTTACTCTTGATTCACATTCTTATGACTTTTAACTATTTAGATATGTATTTCTTGCCACAACCTCATCTTAATTTTAAGTTGAATCCCAATTATTACTCAATTTACTTAAGTGAAGCCATTTTTCAAAATTCTCAAGTTACTGCATCACATTTTATTTTATTTCAGCATTATTTTTAAGATTCTGAACATATTAAAGAGTTTTTTACAAAGTCCATTTAAATCTAAATATACTTAAACATATTTAATTACTTTCTCATCAAAAAGACTACTATCACAAACACTGAACGATTAAGAGCCTTAATTGAATGAACTAAAACAGCTTCTCCTGCTTCCAAGTTATCATTTATAAATGAAAAACAACGAGAATGATCAATTGCAAATTGATTATCTGTTTCAATCCAACAATATGTTAAATATTCTATTCCAATTGATTCCCAATGATTTGGAATTTATTTACCAGCACAATTTATAATCTTTGTAATTTTATTCGTTATTAAGAATTCTAGGTCCTATTGTTTTATTTATCATTTACATGTGCTGTGCTCTAGTTTCCAATGTATAAACCGTCAATGATACGAGTTGAGGATTACATTATATTTTTAATTATATTAAAAAATTGGTTTAATGTTTTTGAGTGAAATTACACTTTATTTACTGAATTAAATATTCTTTGACTTATTTTGTAATTGAAATTATGTATTGATATTGAGTTCAGATTCACTATAGAGTATATATACTAAATATGCATAATAGTTTAATAAACTTAAAAAATTAAATTTATATGAAAAATAATAATTATATAGTTAAAGACATCTATTAAGAGAAAAATAAAGGACGTATTTATGATATTCATAAAAAGAAATTAGAGGAAATCAACTAATAAGTAATAGTTTAAAAATTATAATAGTATCCAAAATTAGAAGATTAGAAAATTATGAAGAAACTTAAAGAGAAACATAATATGATTAAAACAGTTTCAAAATTTTATAATTAAGAAGCTTTTCTTGAATAATAAAGAGTGAATCAACATTTAATATTGAAAATAATGTAGCCTTAAACAAGTAAGACACGATCTTAACATAATCAATCAAGAAAAGAATATGCTAAAATAAATTTTGATACTAAGCGTATAAGTGAAGAAAATCGTAGTCTAGCAAATAGAATTACAAATTTACCTCCTGTTATTGATGCTAAAAAGCATGACAAAGAATATCGAAAACATTAGAGTGATGTTGTCTTAATATAAAAATATCACACTACAAGACTTATAGAGTAATATGATTAAAAATCCTTTAATATACTAAATAAGTTGACTAATAATAAGTTAAACAAGAGTAAATTAGGCAATTTTAAATTCTTATCAACAATAAATAAATAAACAAAGTTTATGATGTTAGTTATATAAGAGATGGAATTATTTGGAGTAAAGCACTCATCATTCATGAGCAGAAACACTCCTACATATTAATGTTCTATATTTTCAGATTAAAAGTTATTATGTAAAAGCAAACCTTTAGAATATACTGAATTTCTGGAAAACATTATAGGATTCAACTGTTAAGAATTTACATCTATCTATATGGTAATAGAGAAGATTAAGTAAAATGAAGAAGTAATTATGTGATATAACCTTATAGTTTTAAGTTGGAGAAGTGATATATTGTGAGAGTTATTCTCATATACACACACAACCATTTAAAGAAAATATTGTAGTACGAATTTCAGATGAAATAGAAGGAGAAATAAGAAAGAATATTTCAGAAGAATAAGTTGTAATTGGAAAATTAAAATACAAAATACTATAATTGTGTCAATAAAGTAATGAGAATAAGTTACCCGTGCCTCCTTCATTTTATGCAATCCAAATTAAACATTCAACTCCATAACCCTCAGTTAAAGAACCTGAAGAAATTCCATCATAATAATTAATATGATTAGTAATATTATTTACGTGTTAAAATGGAATCATGGGTCCAAGAAACATAAAAGTTGTATTTTTCTGGCTATCCATTTATTGAGTATGGTGTAGGAGGCTATATCATTCTCATTTCTATACTTCTTGCTATTAAATGCCTTTTTAATTGTGAAACCAAACACCCAGCGAATTTCAATGTATTATTAAAATTACATCTAGGTTGTCAAATTTAAAATCCCTAATAATAATACCAATACTAATACTTCCAATTAACAAGAACTTATCAACAACTAAACAAGATTGATTCAATAATTAAATGAGAAATTAGAAACGATGCATTAAGGTTTTGATTAATTAAGTAAAGAACATATTTAGTTACGTGCAAGTATCAAATAAATATAAACAAATTAGCTCTCTCTGATTTATAAACTTAAGTCTTTGATATTTTAACAAAAAAGAAAAATTCCAACTCGTCTTAACTATAAAATAAATCAATAAAATCCCAAATTGTAACACCTTAATTAAATTCTGAGAAATAAGAAATAAAAGAAAATTAACAAGCCTCAGAAGGATAAGAATAAAAGAAATCTTAAAAATAATAAGTAGAAGAAGAATAATTTTAATAAAAGTAACTAGACTTATAAAAGGAAGTCTAAAATGAATAACAATAATAACAATAATAATAACAATAACAATAATAATAATAATAATAATAATAATAATAATAATAATAATAATAATAATAATAATAATAATAATAATAATAATAATAATAATAATAATAATAATAATAATAATAATAATAATAATAACAATAATCATAATAATAATAAAAAAATGAAGATAATTTACAAAATTTCTCTCAAATATAATTTAAGGAACAAGAAAAAAATGAATAAAATACAATAATTGCTTAACCTTAAGAACCAATGAATTAATCCTAAACAAATCCTTTTGCAGCAGAATAACCTCCTGTAATAAGAAAACCATAAAATCCACCTACTCCAAAAAGAATACCTCCTTAATTAAGACCAAAGTGAAAATTTTCATTATAGTAATCATAAAAATTTATTGAAATCCAATGTCCCTTTTAATTCTTATAACTATCTACTATATGACAGATATTTTTAATTTTGTTATTGTTAAGCGAATGCAACTTCAGGAGGTTATGGTTGGCTTATCGGAAATCTCTTTTTTTATCTTGATCTTTTGATTATCTTATCAATAGCACTAGTCTTAAACTCAGTTTATGTTTCTAATCTTTCTGGAAGTGTTAAAAAGTTAGCATCACTTTATAGAATAGATTTGCGAGTTTTCTCTCTTCTGCTACTTGGTAATGCTTTTGCCCTGAATTGATATTAAACTCTTTCTGTTTATGAATTTTAAATAGATTCTGATTTTTAAATTCTTGTTGATTCCATAGATTTAAGAAGATATTTTCTTTAACTTAATGAACCTACTCTACCTTCATCATCTGTAACTCCTATTTATTTAACAGAGAAAGTCAATTTATCATAATTTTCTTTGCTTAGTTAAAGATTGGCAATGAGTTCCTTTTACTTATTTTGATAATCTTATCTTCTTTAAATATAATGCATATATTCAAATGGACTAAATACTTTGATAACTTTAGCATTTAAACTATAATAAGTGTTCTTAAATACTCTTATGTGCCATAGAGTACTTTTGGATGGACTTTAGAAATAATAGTAGGGGACTTAAATTTTTGAGACATTTTTTATTAATAATAAATAATGATCATATAAGTAAGGAATAATTATTGATTTTATTGATGGATTAATACTTAGTGGATTTAATAAGGTTATCGATTTGAATATATTTTGGACTTTTGGGTATTTTTGGTGAAATGAGATTAACATTTTTGGATTCTCTCAATACAGAACCATCTAATTCAGAATAAACATAATACTCAGTGCGAAGTCTTATCGTAGCATTTTTGCTTTATGATCTTGATTTATAAAGTGATGTACTATTAGATTTATTTTCATTGAATGAAGGTTATTTTTTAGGTTTAAGTAAACGTATTAATAATGTTTTGCTTGATTTAGGTATTGTTCGTTCAGTTTCAATAGATTTATTTCTAATGTGTTTAGACAAATTATAGATTTCTATATTTTTGAGAGAGTTGAGTGAATCGTCATCAGATTCATCATAGCATTCTCTTTAAAATACATAATAATGATTTTGTCGACTTTTGGAAAATCTTTTTTCAATTTCTTATCTGAATTCTTTAGTTTATTATTGAACGATAGCATCTGTCATATGTAACGATAGCTTTTATAATTAATAATAATAATATAAATATTTATAATAAATGAGTAAAGGGATTGGTGCACATCTAGATAAGGCTGTGAAATTGAAGATCTATCAATAGAGAGCAAACAAATACAATTAAGAATTTGATAAATTAGAGGTAGTATTTTATCGATATCTATTATTTCTTATTAAATAGGAATAAGGACATGATCCTGATAAGATCCCTGTAATTTTAGCTGAGGAAGAATATAAGAGAAGACATGCCAATGATCCTTAAGAACCTTTACCTTTTGAACGTAGTGATAAAGTATTACCAATAACTGGGTCAACTCATCTTGGATTTGATAAAGCTCATACAAATCCATCTTCAGCTAAATAGATGATGCAAATTTAGGAAGAGAAAATGCAAAAAATAAAAACAATTAAATAATCCGGAGGAAAATTACCTGTAGATGGTAAAACAGTTATATCTATTATATAAGAGGTACATAAGGCATAGAAAGAACATGAGAAAAATATGAAAGCTCGTATATAATATGATCATATAAATGATTTACATCAAATGTAATAATCTGATCCAAATGCTAAGAAATCTGCATATTAATAACATCATGGTATATTAATTATTTGATTTAGTGTTTACAAAATATATGTAAGATGAATGTGATCATTAGAACTTTGATTATCATTAGATGAAAAATGACTTAAAATAATACCATGAAGCATTCGTTATATGTCAAAAAACACTAAGAAAATGAATAATACATCATATTAATTATTTTATAATTGTTTTTCAATGATTTTATTTTTCTTAATTTCTCTTAATTCCTATATCAAATAATAATAAAGCATAATAAACTAAAAAAAAGTTGTAGGAGGCCTTTTTAAGATAGTTTGCCTAAGAAATAAGATTGTTTATAATACATTTTTGGATGGATCAACTTCAAATAATTTGATTGCTCTATAATTCCAAAAATATAATGATACTAATCCTGAGATACAACTGATAAATTTTAATTCAGGCTAAGAATGTTATGATGCAGTTCCTAACCAACTGAACCCATTAATAGCCAAACATATTTTCATATGTCTACTTGCAACAGTACTATCATTAATCATTTTAAATCCAGCTCTTAAATAGTCTTTTTGATATTTCCAATAGATTCCATAAAAATGATTGATCTGCCATGCAAACATGAAACCAAAATTACCCCACATTCCTAAATTATACAAACTATCATTATTAACACAAGCAGCTCCTAATACTACTGGAAGAGCTCCAATTACTGCTCCTATTAAAGTATTGATGGGAGATCTCGTTTTCAATGTTGTATAGATTCCTAAATATGAGAAGAAAATTAAATTGTTTATTGCTACAGCGTTGATTGGCAAATACTAAATCACTAATAAATATACATTATACATCAGGACATTAGAAACTGTATAGAATGCAAATCCTATCAATCCTCCTTACATACGAGTAAGTCGTTGGATTGGAATTGGACGATTGCATGTACGTGTCATTATTTTATCTTATCTCCATTCAATCACTTAATTGAATGCTTAACTTGCCATAGCCTATTCACTATAATCTATCTAAATACCATAAAAAGTGATCCTGAAAATACTGAAAATGACTTTAAAGAGACTAAATTGTCATTTCCTAAATACATATAAGAAATGAAAGGAATTACCGCATTCCCACTTGCTAGACTAAATTTACATAAATTTTTCAAATCTGTGATTGTTATTTTCATTAATATAAAATATATGTAAATATATTTTAAATACTCAAATATTCCAATCCATTCCAAATAATACTTTAACCAACCTAAATATTTTAATCTTAAAATCAAACCAAAAACAATAATACTTAAAAGACTTTCAAAAAATTATAAAAATGCTTCATATTTACAGATTATAATCTCAATTAGAAGATTATATATAAGAGATTCTATCCATATCCATTTTGAAACTTATCGATATTCTTTATAGAAAATAATACTTTCTTAAAAAGAACTCAAAAATCAAATTGAATTTTAAGTTACATAATAATTAGTAAATTAGGAAATTAAACTAAAAAGAAACGTTTTTAGTCAAAACTAAAGAAATTGAAACATTTAGTGAAACCTTAAAAAATAAATATTAAAGATATCCTGTAAAAAATATTTCTTTGGTTATTAATTACATTATAAAAAAAAAACCTTTTATTTTAATATTTTTTATTGCCAAAGATGAACAACATTTTATACAGATTAATTTTATGGAATCATTATTACTGTTGTTGATCCATGTTAATTTTTAAAAAAGGGTTTAAATTTTATTTACAAGTTAAATTCATAACTGACTGTGAAAGTGTTAATATTTGATCTATGATGTTAGAATCACCTTTATAAGCTTTAAAAAATAACTTAACTAGAGTAAAAGAGATAGTTTCTTTTAGACAATAAGTTCCTTGCATAAGCATTGCAAAAATTGAATTATAGACTTTCATCTTCAAAGAAAAAAAATACTATAAAAATTGATTAAAAATGAAATTTCAAAATTAAAGGGCAATTTTTAATGTATTTCTTCAGAAATTAATATTCTTATGCTTTATTAATAGTTACCTAAAAAATAGAGATGTCCTATTTGTAAAGTTAAAATATATATTTTCTTAAATTAATGCACCGGTCAATATGCCATTTAAAAATCAAATTAAGAGGTTCAATTTAAAAGAAAAAATCATATTTGATCTTAAGGGTAAGAAATTAGACCAAAATATTTTTAAGGATTGAGATTTTAGTAAAAGAATATATAAAATAGCAATAGAATATTATATTTGATAATCATAATTTCCAAATTTAAAGTAATTCAAAATCAAACAATCCTAAATCTTTTGTTATATAATCGAGAAATTCTACATTTTAAAACTCATTCTAAAGTTTTCTAATACTTCAAAATTCAAAATTACATCTGCAATAATATAAAGGCTTCTTATAAAGGATCAAATTTATTATTAATAATACTCATCCTTCCTTATCATTGAAATATTCAATAGAAAGTAATAAAAAAACAATTAATTGATATAGAATTTTTTAAATTAGAAAAAATTTTTTATAAATTTNTTGAAACATTTAGTGAAACCTTAAAAAATAAATATTAAAGATATCCTGTAAAAAATATTTCTTTGGTTATTAATTACATTATAAAAAAAAAACCTTTTATTTTAATATTTTTTATTGCCAAAGATGAACAACATTTTATACAGATTAATTTTATGGAATCATTATTACTGTTGTTGATCCATGTTAATTTTTAAAAAAGGGTTTAAATTTTATTTACAAGTTAAATTCATAACTGACTGTGAAAGTGTTAATATTTGATCTATGATGTTAGAATCACCTTTATAAGCTTTAAAAAATAACTTAACTAGAGTAAAAGAGATAGTTTCTTTTAGACAATAAGTTCCTTGCATAAGCATTGCAAAAATTGAATTATAGACTTTCATCTTCAAAGAAAAAAAATACTATAAAAATTGATTAAAAATGAAATTTCAAAATTAAAGGGCAATTTTTAATGTATTTCTTCAGAAATTAATATTCTTATGCTTTATTAATAGTTACCTAAAAAATAGAGATGTCCTATTTGTAAAGTTAAAATATATATTTTCTTAAATTAATGCACCGGTCAATATGCCATTTAAAAATCAAATTAAGAGGTTCAATTTAAAAGAAAAAATCATATTTGATCTTAAGGGTAAGAAATTAGACCAAAATATTTTTAAGGATTGAGATTTTAGTAAAAGAATATATAAAATAGCAATAGAATATTATATTTGATAATCATAATTTCCAAATTTAAAGTAATTCAAAATCAAACAATCCTAAATCTTTTGTTATATAATCGAGAAATTCTACATTTTAAAACTCATTCTAAAGTTTTCTAATACTTCAAAATTCAAAATTACATCTGCAATAATATAAAGGCTTCTTATAAAGGATCAAATTTATTATTAATAATACTCATCCTTCCTTATCATTGAAATATTCAATAGAAAGTAATAAAAAAACAATTAATTGATATAGAATTTTTTAAATTAGAAAAAATTTTTTATAAATTTATATAGATTAAAAAATTTTTTTTTTTAATTCTGAGAAAATTAGATAAAAATTAAATGAAATTAAAATACAACTAAATAAAAATATAATTTTGATGTAAAATTTGAATTAGTTCATAATTTTACTTTAATATGTTTATAAATAATTTTTGGATTTCAAAATAATAATAAATTATGAATTCTATGAGAACGCATTAAAAAAAATTACAATTCTTGTCATAATAACAAATTAAGTAATTAAGTAATTTATTGTAGTTTTATATGGCGGATTGTTTTTGAATTTGATCCTTTAAAAAACACCCAAGAGAAAATGGCTGCAGCTGATCATAAAGCAATATTTGGAACATCTAATATAAAATCTCATTAGGATGATTTAAATTGGGGCAAATAAACCTTTCATGATATTTACACATTTACAGAATCTTATAATCTTTTAAAGCATTTTATGTATTTAGCTATATAAAATTTAATTGAATCTACATAAATTAATTCCTAAATAAGAATACTTTATACATTTAATGCATTTTCTCCATATTATGAATTCTTTAAGATGCATCCTCCGTTTAATAGATAAAGTTAAACATAAATTATTAGATCAATTAAAAATACTATTATTGTGTAAGGATTTTAAAAAATATTCACATGTACCTATGGACAGAAGAGTAAAAGTAGAGATAAATAGTTAATAATAGAGGTTAACCTATTAATAGTTATTCATTCAATTGAATATTATTTTAAGAAGTTATTCATAGAAATCTTAAAGTTTATGAATTTACATATGAAAGGTTAAATTTTTGATAAAAAATAATTATTTTATACCTTATTTAATAATGATAGATTGATGAATTTAAAATTCTTACAGAAGATGAAAATTAAATTAAAATATTTATGGATATTTATAATCACACTTAAGTAAGATGTAGATAATAAAAAAACAGATGCTTTTTTTAAAAGGGATTGAAATCATAGTTTGGGAATAATTTATAAATTAGAGTGAAATATAAATGAGTAAAAATTAAAGGTTTTTATCCAAATAAATATAATTCCTATATGAATACATAGGTAACTATTTTTGAGTTATTTATTTTATAAATTTTATTTATCCAAGTTATCGATTGGATTATATCAAAAAATCAATATATTACATTTAAATAAAATAAAATCAAATTAATTAAACAATAAAAAATAAATAAAAAATATATGAAGTTAAGTAATATTCCTCAATCAAAATTATCAAGATTAGATGATTCAACTTCTACAGACATTCATAATATGTGTTATAGTAGAGTTAATATACTTACAAATGAAGTTGAGAAACTTACTGATGTACTTGGTACAGCCTCACAAGAAATGGAAGTTCTTAAAGAACATAATAAAGATTTATAGAATTAATTATAAGAAATGGAGCAATCTAATTAAATCGTAAGTTTAGTAATTATGTTTAGTTAAATTAAGAATATGATAATATTTGTGATAGATTAAAATAGAAAAGTATTGAATCTGAAGAATATGCATTTTAAGTTTAGAAATTAACCCTGTAAAAATAAGTATTTTTTTAATAAAATTGTAGGAACTCAGTCAAAATCTCAATAAAGTTTTAAATGAGTTAGAGTAAACCAATTAAATTATTGAAATTAAGGACTAAGAAATATAAGCAGGCAAATAGCAATTTATAGCAAAAACAGAGGAATTATAATAAAGTTTACAATAAATTTATCATTTGGATTAAGCTTTAAGAGTTGTTAAGGAGGAAAAATTAAAATATATTTATGAATATTAGTAACTTTAGAAAGTTGTTAATGAATAGACAGATTAAATAAATGAATTATTAGAAATTAAGAATGCTTATGAATTATTGAAAATAGATTTGGATGTTCTTAGAGTCAACTATACTAATTTATTGAATTAAAAACTTCAAGAAAAAAAGGAACTTGAAGCATAAATTGATGTATTACGTGATATGCATGGTTATACAATTGAAGATGCTGAGATGAAATTTGCTGTAAATTATTAAAATAATAATTTAGAATTAAATAAAATAAGAGATTGATAATTACAAATAACTATATGATGAATAATATAAAGCTGAAAGAATGAATTATGAATCAATAATAGATTAATTAAAAAATTAAGTGAATACTTTATAATTATAATTACAAAATGCAGAATTGTTGATAGCAACTCATAAGTAAAATCTAATGAATTAAACTTAATTGACAATGTTTGAGAAAAATAATCAAGTCAGTGAATTGAGAGCATAGAATTTTGTTTTATAAGAATCATTAAAAACAATGAGTAGAGAATTAAATGAATTGAAATAATAAATGGAGAATGGAAATATTATAAGATTTGATGACGATATTAGAAAATAAATTGAATATAAATTAGATTTATGTTAATAAATGTAAAAAGAGAGAGATGAAATAAAAAAGGAAAATGAATAATTAAGAAGAGAGAATCGTTTGTTAAAAGAGAATAATGAATTAATGTCTTAATAATTGCAATAATAATCAAATGTTAGTTAATTGCCTTAATCATTATTGATAAGTTAAGTTCAACCTTAAGGTAGATAATATAATAATATTAAAAGTAAATAATCCTGGTTAAAAGATTAGTGATAGTGATAAAATCAAATATCTACTAAAGGCAGTTGATCAATTATAAAATGCTATAAAAGATAGAGACTTAGAAATAAATAAATTATCTTAACTTGCTAGTACTAATGCAGGTTTATCTTAATTAATGATTAAACCAAAGTCACAAATAAAATTTTATCATCTAAACTCAGAGGATATTAGTCCATTTAATAAATAATAATGATTTATATAATCTATAATAAATGAAAAAAAGTTTAAAAAAGTCTTAAAGCACAAAACTCAAGGTCACCCCATGTTCAAATGATCGTTATTATATGGATTAATCTATTGATGAAGAGGTCTATCTAAAGTATAATTATAAAGTTGTAAGAGAAATGGGAAGAGGTGGTTATGGAGTTGTATATAAGGCGTATTAATAATCATAAAGATTTAGTCTAGGATTGAATTAAGGTCAAATTGATAAAACTAAAAAGTATGCCATTAAAGTTAATTTTTCAACTGTGTCACCAGAATTGATATTTGCAGAAATTGGATTTTTGAAGTTAATTTATGGTAAAGAGAATATGCCTCAATTGGTTAATCTATTTTTGAAGGATTAAAAAATATACATAGTAATAGAATACTTTACATATAAACCATTCATAGTACATATTTTAACTTAATAAGACATTTTTTGCAAACTTTGATATGATGCAAATAAGAAAATATCTTTTTGAGTTATTGAAAGCTTTAGATATTTTAAAATAAAATGGTATATATCATAGAGATGTAAAACCTGGAAACTTTCTGTATAACCCAAAAACTTGTAAAGGAATTTTGATTGATTATGGGCTCAGTGAAATTGATAGATCATTTGTTGCAAAATTGATCGAAAAAGAAAAGGATTTGTCAAAGAAAGTATTGAATTTATTTAAATATTATTAAGAATCCTTAATCAGATGAAGTCTAAGAAATAAGAAGGAAAATTAATTTATATAATGAAATTCAAAAAACTATAGATTAAATTGGATAAAACAAAATTGGAACAGAAAGTTTTATGCCATTAGAAAGTATTTTGCATTATCATGTATTATTAATTAAATATATATATAGGATTAATCTTATGAAGTTGATATGTGGGCAGTTGGAGTTATATTTTTACAATTCTTAACAAAAAAATATAATTTATTTAGCAATGTTAGAATGATTAATAAACCTGTTGCAACAAAAAACTTTTTTTATGTTAATTTTATATTAGAATTAGCAAGTTTATTTGGATCTGAATAAGTAAGATAAATATGTGATTTGTTTGGTAATATTTAATAATAATAATGTAGATTATGATTTAAAATTACCATCAGTAACAGCAACTAAACCTATTAAATGGAAATTAATAATAAATATGGAAGGTTTTGATGACAATGCTGAAGATTTATTAACAAAACTACTATGTTTACATCCCAAATAGAGAATTAAAGTAGAAGATGCATTGAAACATCCTTTTTTTAAAACTGTATCTTAAGAAAAGTAGACAGATACAAATTTTTAATTTGAATAGGAATTAAATATTAATAAATAAACTGAAATATGAATTAAATTTTATCTATATAAATCTCAATCTTATTATTATTCATTTTTTTATATTTGATTTGTATTCTCTTATGAATCAAGTTTTTGTGCTTCTTCTTATTAATCAACTTTAAATGATTTTTCATCTTATGTTTCATTTTCTTATTTCTCCTACTCCTCTTATTTTATTTACTCTACTAATTTTTATAATTCATCTTATTTTTATTCATCTTATTTTCTACAATATAAATATTCATTACTTAACAACTGTTATTTTTAATGCTTTTTCTTTTGGTTTAGTAGATTACAAAGGTATTTTTTATTACACTTTAGAAGGATCAGAAGATTTCGCAAGGATCTCATCTACTTTTTATCTCAATTCAGTCATATCTTTAGGAACTTCTCGAGCATCTCTCACACTAATAAAGTATATATAATATAAACATACATAAGATAATAAGAATCTTTCAAAAGAAACCATGGACTTTTATTTACAACATTTTGGTTGAATTTAAGTAATTACCAATCAAAACTTGCAGTGACTAAATCAGTTATAGCAAAACTAAAGACATTATTAATTTTAATAGCTTCTATTGCATCCTAATTAATATTGAATAAATTTGAAATAACAGTTGAGACATCATGCATAGTATCAGTACTATTTAAAAAAATTTCTTATGGAGGAAATGAAAGAGTAAAATCTTTTGGATTATAAAATCTTACATATCCTAATAATTGATTTTCTTTAATTTCATCTTCTTTTTCTAATTTTTCAATTATGAGAGTTTGATTATCAAAAATTCTTAAATTTTTTAATAGTTAATCATTATGATAAACTTAACTAAGTTTTGTATTTAATTTATATCTCAATCTTATAAGATTAGGTTACAATACAATTTATTTCAATTCCTATATTTTTTAACATAACTTTTCTTTAAGTTCTTTAACATACCATTCTGAGTTGATTTCCATATCAAATAAATCTTATAATTCAAATTCAATTGTATCCGAGTATTTAGGAGATAAGCCTCCCATTCCAACTTTAATTTTGTAAATACCTTTAGTTGATGGTTTACCCATCATTAAACAAAATGCTGCACGACCAATAGCTTAATTATTTTTTATTGTAGTTGTTAAATCTTTAATTTCTTCACCATATCTATTACTTTTCTTAACAATAAATGAATCAATATCCAAACCAAGAAAATCACTCATTTTTTCTTTTAATTCTTACATTGTTCTTCTATTATCAATTTATAATTCAAAACAATAATCAGGAGATTCTGAAGGTAATAATTGTTTTCTAGGATCATTAAAAGTAATTCTGCATTTATGTTTTTCACATTCAAACTTTTAATCCCAATTTAATGGTAATCCACACTATTCTTATTGTTCTTCCAAATATAATGTTACATTTCTACCAATTTTGAGATCATAAAGAGTTTATTCTAATTAATGTTATTAATTTATTCTAAATGAATAATTAGTAGCTCCATTAATCCAATTCTTTTAAAGAATTATTTATTTATCTTTAGGTACTCCTAATCTTTAAGTTATTACATCCATAAATTAATCAACAGTTTTATCATCTCGAATGAAAAATTTAATAGGTTTCAATTCGTTTTCATCTAAAGATTCAATATCATTTCTCCAAACACATAATTTTATTAACATAATATGAGGATCATAATCTTCAAAAATTTCATGTGGAGCTTTAGTTTCTAAAAGAACAGATTTAAAATCATTAAAATATAATCCTTAAAGAGTTTCATTTTCTTTTTTTGTGAATGTATCTTAAGGAATATTATCTATATGATTATAGAATCTTATTCTTGTATTTTCATCATCTTCTTATACATTCAATTCTTACCTGATTTATAATTTAAAATCTTTTAAAAGTGTATCCTTTCTTGTTTTAATAACAGCATCTTTATTTTTATAAAATGATCTAATTTTTAATTCCATTTCTTTTTCTTTTTTTTCTCTTTCCCATTTTTCTTCCTTTTCTTTTTATTCTTATAATTCTTTAACAATAGCTTATTTTAAATGTTCTTAAATTTCAGGTTTTTATGTACTTAATTCTTCACCAGCTCTTCTATACATTAAGAAATATGCACTACTACCCATATTATATTTAGGATATTTATCTCCAAACATTGTTAAAATTGTTTTCCAAGATATTTTAGAGACAGTTGAATCATTAAAACAATACCAATCTCCATCTTCAAATGATTTTATATATGCATAATAATGTCCACCTAATGCTCCACCTGAATGAATCATTACTGAATATAATTCATAGATATTTGGACCATTCTATAGAAGTTCTTATATTTTTTATTTGATTGATAAATTATGAGATTCATTTTCAATTCTTTCTTATATTTCTTTTTCATCAGAGTTTTTTATTTTCGCACCACCTTATACTTCTTTTATAGTTTTAACAGTATTAGCAGTAGTACCTTCTCCTAAATCACCTAAATTATCGAGATTACCACCAAATAATATATCATTATCAATATCATAAGCTTCATCAGCTGTTAAAATTAGATTAGGATTATTTGGTATAGTTTAAGATGTAAATTAAGTTTGAGTATTATTATTATTATTATTTGTAGATTTAAAACTTTAAAACTTTGATTAGAATTCTTAATGTGCTTCTAACAATTACTTTTTAAATTACATTTTATCATCTGATGGTACTATTTATGGAGTATCATTAAAATGAACTTTTTAAACTCTTTCATCTGGAGAAGGTTTTCTATTTTTTCTTCTTAAAGGATCACTAAAACAACTTTATAATTTTTCTTATTCATATTATAATTTTAATTTCTCTCTTTCCTCTAATAAATCAGGATGATCTTCAATATGAATTTAATCATATGGTTTAAGAAAATTGTTCATATCTAAAACAAAAGGAAAAGATACATAATCATTAACCTTCTTTCTTTCAAATGTATTTAAATCTAATTCAAAACGATTTAATTGAATAGTAAGAATATCAGAAAGTGCTTTTAATCTAAATCCTTTTAGAGCATCTGTTTTATCCTAACAATTTTAACATAAATATTTATTATCGCCTTCCAACTTCTCAGGTTTAATATAATAATATAGAGCTCTCTCTAAAGACTCATTATAAACATTTAAAAAGTCACTTTTGACAGTAAGTGAAAGATCTAAGAAAACTTCATTTGAAACACTCTCTTGTTAACATTTAAGACATTAGACATATGATTATGAGTGAGATTGATATAAACGTGTGATGAAATCTTAATCATCTGATTATTAGATAGCATCAAATAATACTCTGCAAAATTCTTAAACATCATGTTATGCAAATGATTCTTATGGATCCCATTAAAATGATCTTACTAAATTTCTAGCATCTGTAGCTCTATTTTCATAACATTCTTGCATCTTAGTGAAGAGATACTATAATTGATAAGGAATACAATCTTCTTTTTTAGGATGCTTAGTTTCATCATATTTCCATTTAAATAGGGCTTCTCTAAATTAACGAGTCATAAAGAGTGTCTGAAGAAGAGAATTCATGTAACATGTGTTACCCAAATTATTTAAACCGCAATACATAATTATTTTAATATCATTCATATAGTGATGCTATATCACAAAGCGCCTACTTTAGTTATCATATTAGTACCAATTGATATTTAGATGAGTTGAGTAATCTCTTTCCAATTAAGATACCTTTACCCATCAATGATAAAGGAGTAGGTGGATTAGGAATCTATCCTATTATAGTAGAAAATAGATAATCAAAAACTGGTGCTATTGAAGTATCTCCAATTGAACTAGTTTATATATATAAATATTATACCAAACTTCAAAATATTCCATTCCATATTTACGAGCCATTCCTATTGCTTCTGACTTTGACACCCCTCCTTTATTACTAGCATATAAGTCAATCTTATTTCCAATCAATACTTTAACTGGAATCTCAGTTTTCTCATTTTCAGTTATCCAATGTTCAATCTTTTCAAAAGTTTATCTTTTAGAAACTAACTTATTCAATTCCTAATATTACCATCAAACATATATATCGCTGCTGTTGCTCCTAAACAAAAACGAAAGAATGTATCAGGACTACGATGTTTTCCAGGTATTTCCCAATATGCTATCTTATAAAGAGTGTCATCATCCATATAACCAACAGTCTTTATTTACTTTTATTTTATTATACCTTCAAATTTAATTCATCTGATGCTTCTTATTCTATTATCTTGCCAAAGGTGATTGCCAATACTTTTAATTTTATGATTTAATTTACCATCTAAAAAGGTTGATTTTCCAACCGATTTCTCACCTTAACATACATAAGAATGGTACCTAAAATCACAATGCGGAACTTGAAATGATAGTCTTCTGAATCCATTTATTTTATTTATAAATATTTATAATGGCTTCCATGTGAGGATTGAATAAAAAAATTAAAAATTAATGACTGACCAAGAAAAGAGTTGTGATGTCAAACTAATCTCTGATGTTTAAAAAAATGTTTAAAAACAAAAGACTGGATTAAAGTAGATAAATCTTGATAATCTGGTGTACAATAAGCGAGAGAGAAAGTAAACTGGCACACAAGGTTTAAACTTTACTTATTCTTAGCACTTTAACCTATGCCTCTAGTTGTTCAACACAAAATCACTCATCATAAGTAAGGTCGCAAAAAGAAGAATACTGAAATACAGACCCCGCCAAGAGAAGAGGTATAACAAAACTAAGAACCTACTTTAATCAAATAATTACCAATATCCTGTGAATAATTGGTCTTCGAATCTGATAACTCTTCTGAATTTGATCCTAAAATCAAACCTAAGAAAACCAAAAAGTTTAGAAGGACTCATAAACGTATAGACTTAGAGGACTCTTCTGATGAAGCTGAATACAAATCTAAGCTTATTCTTAGAAGAGTTAATAAGATCTTTAAAAAGTCTTATGAATAAAAATAAATCCTAACTTCAGGCAGTGAATAAGAAAATTTAGTCAAAGAACTATTCAAAAACATATATGTCAAGATATTTCAAGGTACAATCTAAAAATTATATAAGATATTCCTGTTACTGCTGCTGAATTAAAATAACTCACTTAACCTGAATGTTCAACAGGTTAAGAATGTGATGGTAAGTAATTGGAAGAAGAACCAAAATAAGAAGATGAACCTTTAAGAATTTTAACAGAAGATGGTACAGAATTTGAAACTAAACGTAATTTGAAACTCCTAGGAATTGAAAATTAAGAAATATTATCAAAATTAGGAGAAATTAAATCATACATTAATTGTGATATAAGATATTTTAATATTGACTTTCTAGTTGAAAAAGTAGGTGGATTTGATGGTATTCTATATTAATATAATTATATTTTAGTTGTTTTAATGGATCCACCTTGGAGAATTAAAGGAGGATAATAGAATGATTCTTCATTCATGTTTACCAATAGTAAATTTTCTTTAGATTATAATACTATGAGCAATCAAGAAATAATGGATATAAAAATAGAGAAATTGAGTAAGAAAGGATTTCTATTTCTTTGGATCCTTAACACTCAACTAAATATTGCTTATGAAATGGCTAGTAAATGGGGATATGAAATAGTTGATCAAATTATTTGGGTGAAATTGAATCCATAAGGCAATAATGTTTATCTTTCTACAGGATATTACTTTATGCACTCATTTGAAATTTGTCTAGTTGGGTAATATAAATTCAATTACATTAGTTATAAATGTCCTCCAGGTGAACATGTTGAATATCATTCAAAAATATCTAATAATATCATATTTAGTCCTGTTAGAAATAAATCTTAGAAACCAATTGAATTATATGAAATCATTGAATTAATGATGCCAGGTGCTAAGAAAGTAGAAATATTTGCAAGAAATAATAATCTTAGACATGGATGGTTTTCTGTTGGAAATTAACTTGGAGAAACTTTTTAAAAATGGTTAGTTTAAATAAGTTGTAATGTTTGTAGTATATCATTATAACCTGGAATTTGTAGATACAAATCTAAAAAAATTGCTAATTTTGATATCTGTTCAAATTGTTACAATAAAAAAATTAAGTATAAATTATAAAATCTAATTTAGTGATGGAGAATTAACTGAAAATGAAATGTTTTTTTTGGCTAATAAAGCAGATGAAGAAGTTTTACATTAATATCATCAATGTAATGGTTGTGATTAAAATCCAATATGGGGAGCTAGATTTGAATGCATTACTTGTGATAATTATGATTTCTGTGAAGCTTGTTTTGATAATCTATTAATTACAGGTGATCCTATTCATAAAGATCATGAATTCAAAGTTATAGAATTACCAACATTTGCTGAAGGTATACCATGTCATGATGCTAAATGTAATGGATGCTTTTAAAAACCTATCCTTGGAGTTTAATTTGTTTGTAAATAATGTACAAATTTTAGTTTATGTAAATTAATTTAATTATTTTTTATAGGTTAAAATTGTTTCTTTACTAGAACACAATCAGAATTAAATGGACCAAGGCATAAAGCTGATCATCGTTTTGAACCTATCTATGAAGTTTAAAACTATCAGAAAAAAACATATAAATGTTAAGGTTGTGAATTAGATAAATCTGGAAGTGTTTACAAATGTGAAAATTGTTTTGGTTTCTATTTCTGTGAAGAATGTTATGCACTTAAAAAAGATGATTGGAAATGTTATGTAGCTACCAGCCATAAAAATTATCACACATTTATCAAGATATGATATGATATAAATATATATTATCACATTTTAATATTTTTATTCCATATTCCCTAAATAGTATTAATATTCCTATAACAAACTCTAAATTTTATATAACCTATATTACCCTCTACCACAAGCTTTACCAAATTCAAACTTTCCATGAAATCTAGTATTATCACTAAATGTCCATATTCCATATCCATGAAATAAACCATCCTAAAACTCTCCTTAATAGCTAATCCATTTATTTCCTACTGAATCTAAATTTATATAATCAATAATCCCCATTTCTACATTTTCATTATATAAATGTCCAAAACCATTAAAAGTATCATCCTGCCAAAATCCTTATCTATAATATTTTATTTATACCCCTATATAGTTTTTTATCTCCTTTCTTTAAATTTCCATAACCTTATCTCTTCTCATTATAAACTGATCCAAAATAAGTAGTATCATCCATATTTAAGGTTTTACTATTTGAAATCTATAAATTTATAGGAGATTGTTGAGAACTATTTGTACTACTATTAACAATCACAATTTTTTTTCCATTTGGAGAATAACATACTTCATGAAATGAATTTGCATGTTTTTTTTCTCTTTTAAATGAATTATTTATATTAATATTTGATTTCAATTTCTGATATTTAGAATTTGATTATTTTTCTAACTGTTATTCTAATTATTAAATTTTCGATGATTAAATTTAACAAATTTTAATTTATCCATCTAATTAGTTTTTTAATTTCATCAATTACTCATTTAAAATGACAATATCTTTATCTTTAGCATCCAAATCAATTTTAGATGATTTATTTTGAAATTCTAAATCTAATAACTTTATCTTTAGTTCTTTAACTTCTTCATATTATTGTAATAATTATAGATCTTAAATTTCTAATTTATCCTTCAATAAATCATTTTGATCTGTTAGTTCTTCAATTTTTAATTACAATTCTTTATAATCAATATAGAAATCTTCTAATTGAGATGATGTATTTGATAATCTACAAATGGGAGAACAAGCAGTTACATTTAACTTAAAATTTAAATTTTCTAATGCTTTCTAATTTTTATTGAATATGAATTAAATTTACCTTAAGTACTCTTCTTTAAATTTATTATCGATTTCTTGTATCTAATTCTCGTTCATCAAAAGTAAAATAATTTTCTTAGTCTTAAATATCATTTAAATAGTTTTTGACTAAATTGACTATTTCATCTGCCATTTAATTAATTTGATCAAATTGATCATTTGAAGATATTGTTTTAATTCCAAAACTATTGTCAATATTAATTTTAAATTAATTTTCATTTTCATGCAATAAATTAGTTGATTAGTTCATATATTATCGATCTTTAATACGAATTTAGGATTTATTGTATGGAGAGAGTTAAGAAGACTCACCAATAAGATCTTCTTAAACTTTTTCAGGAATTGGAATAGATTTCTATCTTCTACATTTTAATCCAATAGTATTGGTAGTTCTATTCTACTTATATGATCATATTACTTTTCTTAAGGTTCCTAGAATCTCACCTATTTATAGCTAGTTTATGAGTGGTTATCATCTGTTATAAAATATGATATCACTTCTTCATCAGGAATGCAATTATCTCTTCCCGAATTAGGAGGAGAAGAAAAGGATTTAGTTAGTTTTGATTCTTTAAAAAATTATTCTTTTTAATCTAATGAAAGTGGGCTATCTATATTTTCAAATTTATTAATACATATGTCAATAGAAACAGTTTTACGAAAGATTGCCTAGGGTGGTTTAAGAGTGTGAGCTGTGAAATACCTAGTTCCAATAAATCACATACCTTGATCGCGCATTTATTAATTTAATATATGCCACTTAAAGGAAATCAAATTCACGTAACCAATATTTAGAGTTTGGCTAAAAATGATGAAGTAGAATTGCTGCTATCCAGTATTGGACCCTTAGTAGAATGGACACCAAAGTACTGAAAATTAAATAAATTACATATAGAAGAGAGGGTGAAGTCAAATTCTCATGTACAGCTGAGTATTATGATCAATTTACAGCTAATATTGCAGTAGAAACATTAAATGGATATAAATTTTAAGGAAGAGAATTAAAAGTCAAATTGTATACAAATCTAAGCACATACAAAATATGTATGATTTCTTTATTATATGTTTTTTTATTACAGTACCTTATGCTATTGAGAAAGTGAATTATAAAACATCAAATACTTATAATATGAGTTTACCTTTAGAAGAATTCTATGCTAGTCTTACAACCACTAAAAAATTGGCTATTTTCTTAGATTTAAAACAAACATTTTCAAATAGAGAGGATTTTTTAGAGAAACTTCTCACAGAGAATCCGAGTATGAGTGAATTCATTCTCAAAATTCAAAAAGATGTGATCAAAGAATTTAAAGCAAGTAATCATAATTATTGACATATAAGATAATATTAATAGAGATGACATTTCACATAATAATCACTATCAAAAATAACAGGTATTTTTTAATTTATTTTTAGAATCACCAAAAATTTTAATGAATCATATATTGAAAACTTTATTTGTTGGATAACATTCATTTTTTAAATAATACAAAAAAACTCAACTTTAAGTAAAAGATGGCAATGATATGAGTATTAAAATCGCCTTTTTAATATTTTCTTTTTTCCTTCTCTCATTATTTATAAATTAATATTATTTATTCTTTTCATGTTATTATTATTTATATACATGTATAGTAATATTCGAAAATCAAATCAATCTTCATTTTTGTCTATTCTTTAAACTAGGCATTAGCTAACACTTTGAAGCTATAACAATCTTAAAATTATTACTTGTTTTTTTTTAACTTCTTTCACTTATACTAACTTTCTTATCCAGAGTTTAATTATTGCTTGTCTGGCAACTAATATCTGGTTTTGATTTCATCATGTTTTATAATTATCGAGCTGATTATTATTATTCTGGTTGTTATTATTTATACTATGGAGTTGAAAATTAGTTTTTTAAAGGCTACTCAGTAAACTTTTAAGAATAATCTGTCAAAATATGAGTTCCTTAAAATTGATACTCTTGATTAATTGTATCTACATCTAAATCACTTGAATATCTTTTGTTATTTTTTTCCCCATTTTGAAATGGATCGAATGATTTAAATGACAATGTGTCCAATTTTATTGAATTCAATTTTTCTATTATTTCAATCAACAATTTTAAAGTATTTTCTAATAATATTGGCAACAAATTATTCTATAAATCCAATTAAATAGAGTGGAATGAGTTAAAGTATTATTTTACCATCCAATTCAACTTTTCATTTGCATCACTTATTTAAAATAACTTTTAAAATCTTTTGGCTATAGTATCATAACTACTTAAATATATTTTATACCTATCTACTTTCACTTATTCTTTTTATATTGGTTCATAATGTTTAAACTTAATTGGACATTTGATAAAACTATTATCACTACTACTACTGCTACTTTAATCTGAGGACTATTCACTATCGATTGATTTAGAACGTTTGCGTTTAGGTTTTGCCTTTGCAACTGGAGATTATAATTAACTTTTCATAAAATCAATGTCTGATTTTATTGAAGATAATTAAAACTTCAATCGATTAGATTCAGCCTCCTTTCTTCTCTAAGCATGTTACATTTCCATCATAAATAAATCATTTTAAAATTCAAGATTTTTTAACTTTTTAAAGGCCTATTGACTCCTATATGTATCATTATCGCACTCTTCTGTGTTTAATGAGTTCAATTGAAATGGAATTTTTTATTATTTCTAATGCTAATATACTTTTATGTACTCTTGTTGTACTTTGATTCCCAATATCGAAAACAAATCCTTTGTTTTTAGAAGTTGTACTTAGAGGTTCTTCAGATCTGAGACTTTTCATTGACAGAATAATTGATATTTATATTTATAAATTTTATTTCTCTATTTAATTAATGGTGACTTTTATGTGTTATCATTGTGATCGTACTCTAACAAAACCTTAGGTTGATAAACATGTAAAAACTTAATGCAGGAAACCACCTTCCTTAATCTGCATTGATTGTAAGAAGATGTTCAGTGATAATCATGTTGATCATGTTTCTTGTTTGACTGAAAAATAATTATATTGGGGACCCTATGCTAATGTATTAATTTATTAGAATTCTAGGGGAAAAAACCTTAACAACAATAGAATAATCCAAAATAATAGCAAAATAATTCCAAACATAAGGAATAAGAAAATACAAAAGAAAGTGAATCAAAACAAGATTGGAAGGGATGGAGAAAATCTATTGATGAATTTATTAAATAAAATTAACAGGAAGAATTTCGACTCAATGAAGTGAAGGAAAAATTAGTTTAAAGATTTTTATCTACTTTTCCAGAATATGAAAAGGAATAAGCTGAACAATTATTTGATGATGCAGTAAATAAATTTTCTATTTTATTAAATAGATTAAATAAAGCAGTAAATATTAAGTAGAATATGTGGGTTTTATTGTAAAAAAAGTAAAATAAGAATGATATTATGTTTATGTTTATTAGAATAATTTATTTAGTTTATAAAATGATAAATTAAAATACATATTAGTTGAGATGTTGAAAAGGATCAGAATATTATAATATTATATTTGAAGCAGAAAAAGATCTATTAAATTAATCTATAATCAAGAGATAATGAAAACAATTCAATTAATTTACCTATCATCAAACCAGAACATTTATATCTTCTAGTCTTAAAAATTTTGTGGGATAACTCATTTTTTTTATAAGATGATAACATTTCAATCTTTAAGGCAAAGACATACGAGTATAATGATCAAAATAAAAATTCATAGTTTTTTTTTATGAAAGTAATCCACTCTTACTTTAAATAAATAATGAACAAATAAATGATTTATGAAAACTAAGCTTTTTCTTTTGCATAAGTGTATTATTATTTTAGTTATAATAATTACTTATTTTCTGAGAAAATGGGCTTGTTTATATATAATTAATAATTCGTAACTATGCTTCTAAAAAATTTACATTTTTGTCATCAACTTAACTTTTCATTAACTACTCTAAAACGTCATTTTTATATTTTTTTATAGCTCTTTTGTTATTGTGCCAAGTAGCTACTATTAGGATTAGTAAAATAACATTTTAGATAAGTCAGCAAAAATGATTGGCTAAATTTAAGCTTGATTTACATAATGAGTAAGCAAAATATTATGAGTATCATCTAGTTTCTTTTTTCAATATACATTTTTACTTTGTTTTGCATTTTTTCAGAGAAAGTTTCTAGTCCTCTGATATGGTTTGTTATAGAATGTTGATGTTCTGATTAAAAGAATTAAAGACTATTCATAAGTTAACTTACTAATTTATTTATCGAATTTTCATGCCAATACTTAAAATTAAAACCTTTTGATAACCATCAATATAAAATCAATAAAAATTAAATAACCTATAGCAAAAAGAGATGCATAATTTTGATTATCTGTTTAATATTAATTGCGATTCCAATTTAATTTAATAATTATTCAGAATAATAAGCAGTCTATATTTGTGCTTTTGATTTATACAAACTATTTATATAGTTTTTTTTATAATTATTATACACTAATATAGTCCGTATACATAATTAATGAGCTGGATAATTTTGGGTTAAACATTATTTCACTAAGTGAATTTAATCAGCAATAATATGTGTGAAACAATAAATCAGTTAAATAATGTTTTTATTTAAAATCAAAATATTTTGTTATACATTGAAATATAATATCTTAAAATGAGATTGATATTTATAGTGATGTAGAATAAGAGATTACGAAAGAAGAGGATTACAGGAGAAAAGTAGAGAAATAAGAATTGAGTAAAAATAAGAGAAATGTTTAGATAAATTTTATACATAAAATTTTATAATGATAATGAAATTATACAAATTTAGTACTTCACATATAGTATTTGGAAATAAAGCAAGAGAAAGATTGTTAAAAGGAGTGAGTGAAGTAAAAAAAGCTGGTGTTCTTACTTTAGGTCCTTAAGGTAGGAATGTAATAATAGAAAGTGAGACAGGAAATCATAGAAGTACAAAGGATGGGGTGACAGTAGTGAAAAATGTAATGATGAATGATAGGTTATCAGAAATGGGTGCAGCAATGATCAGATAAAGTAGTAGTTAGACAAATAAATATGCAGGAGATGGTACTACTACTTCAGCATTAATTGCTGCAAATATATTTGAATTAGGATAGAGTTATGTATCAGCTGGTCATAATCCGATATATTTAACAAGAGGATTAAAAGAGGCTAGGAATAAAATATTAGAATATTTAGAGGAAATTAAAACAACTGAAATAGATGATTAATTACTATACAATGTTGCTAAGGTTTCTAGTAATTATGATGAAAATCTAACAAATATTGTATTTAAAGCAATAAAAGAAATAGGTATTAATGGAATTGTAACTATTGAACCTGGAGGCACTGAATCTGTTATATAGATTTAATAAGGAATATAAATACTAAGAGGATTAATGCATGAAAAATTTGCAGATAAAGGAACAAATAAATGTATTTTGCATTATCCATTTATTTTGACATCAAAAGAACCTATTCTATAAATTAAATAGATATTACCAATATTAGAATTGGTAAAGAATACAAATTCACCATTATTTATTATTGCAAGTGATATAAGTGAAGAAGTAATGTCGTAATTGTTATACAATCATACTAAAGATATTCTTAAAGTATGTGCCATTACAATACCTGGTATGGGTTAATCATTTAGTAATGATTTGATTGATGATTTTTCTATTCTTTGTGATTCTTAGTCTGTTGACAATATTTAGACAGTTAAATAATTATCATAATTAGGAAGAGCAGTTAAAATTGAAGTCACTAATACTGAAACTATGATTATTGGAACTTAACCTAATGAATAAGAAGTTGAAAATAGAAAATATTTAATTTAACATTAACAGGAAAGTGCAAAGAATTATAATGCATAAACACTTAAAGAAAGATTAACAAGATTTGATGGTAGAACAGCTATTGTTTATATTGGCGGAAAGTCAGAGATAGAAATGCATGAAAATAGAGATAAATTGGTTGATTCATTGAATGCAACAAAATCTACTTTAAAAAATGGAGTACTTCCAGGAGGAGGAACAGCTTTATTACATGCTTCTAAATTATTAGATTATTTATCAATTGATGTTTAATATTAATTAGGAGTTTAATTATTATAATAAACACTTAGATCACCTATTAAATAGTTATGTAGAAATGCTGGAATTAATGATGGACAAATCATTTAGGCTTTATTAGAAGAAAGTGATTACAATATTGGATTTGATTAAAGGAGATGTAAATAAAATATTTAATTGAATAAGCATGCTTTGGTAATATGATTGATTTGGGAGTAATTGATAGTTTTTCTGTAGTAAAACATTCATTATTGGATGGAGTGAGTCTTGGTTCTATGCTTCTAAGTACTGAAGCTGCCATCGTTTTAGATAAGACTTATACTCCAACAGCATTGAATAAATATAAAAAAGAGGCATTTTGATTATAAATTTGCTATGTGTTATTTTGCATATCTTTTATTAATTATTTTTAATGAGCAGAAGAGAATAGATAGAAAAGGGTAATTAACCAAATTATTAAAAGATAAGTAAGCATTACTTTCAAAACCATGGGTTAAGAATCATCCTATCTTTACATATGATCATATTGCAGAATTTTATGAAATGTTCATTCTTTATGCTGAACCCAGAACAAAGAAAGCAGATGTTAGAGATATTCTTGTCACAGCAAAGACACTTGGTCTCACTGACAAATTCCCAATTATCGCACATGCTCTTGATGATTTAGCTTCTAGTTATGATGATGCAGTTGATTTTGAAACATTCATTTCAGATTTGACAGCTAAATTAGTAATATTTTTAAGCTATATTTCTTAGGGCAATCCATTTGATCAAAAGGGGAGAGTTTAACTATTCAAACTTATTGATGTTGATGGAAAAGGAACTTTAGATAAAGGAGATTTATAAAAAATATCTGACGAATTAAGATTCAATTTGAATGAAGAGGATATTTAAGAAATTATTCATAATGTTGCAGGATATGAAGCTGAGGATGTCTCAGAAGAGAAATTTGAAAAATATTTGGGCAAAAGAGTTTAAAGAAGATAAGTTGAATAAGAGATCTATAGAAACAAATGAAAATAAATCAAAATAAAAAATATTACCAATATACCATATTTTATATTATAATTGTAATATATCACTCTTACTTGTTTACAAGGTATTTCAAAAGTACCTATGTTCCAAATCCAGTTGCTCCTGGAGGGTGAATTCCTTTATCTGCTTTACTATCCATTGGCCCTGCAATATCAAGATGAGCAAATGGAGTCTATAATATTAAGAATTGATACCTTTTCATCGATAAAGTTGAACAAAAAGGCTGCTGCCTTACTAGCCCCACAAACTTTAGACTTTCCAATATTACATAAATCTGCAAATTAACCTTTCATCATATCCTTATGTTCATCAGTCACAGGCATTCTCCAGAAGGGTTCTTACAATTCTTTTCCAATTTCTAGAATCTCTTATGATAAATCATCATTATTGCTAAACAATCCTCCAGTATTCTCTCCTAGAGCAGCTGCACAAGCACCTGTTAATGTTGATATTTCTAATATTGATTTTGGATTATATGTAGATTATGTCCAACTTAAACAATCAGCTAATACTAAACGTCCTTCTGCATCGGTATTATTGATTTCTACTGTTAATCCTTTATGACTTTTCAATATATTTGATGGTTTATATGATGTATTTGAGATTGCATTTTCAGCCATACCCAATGTCACTGTTACATTTACTTTTAATTTCATATCTACAGCTCCTTTAAATGCAGCCAATACATTACAAGCACCAGATTTATCAAGATGCATTGTTTCCATATTACCATAGGATTTTAAATGTAAACCACCGGTATCAAATGTAATTCCTTTACCAACTAAAGCGTGCAATTACTAAGAATCCTTATTTCCTCTATAAGTCAAATTTATTAATGTAGGTTCATAGATTGATCCTTATCCTACAGCATAAAATAAATTTAATTAGCTTTCTTGTAATTATTTTCCTTCCAAAATTTTTATTTCAACATTTGGGTTATCTTTGAATAGAGTTTTTACTTCATTCACAAAAAATTAAGGTGTTCCTTCCTATCTTGTATTTGCCAAATCTCTTGCATATAATTTTATCTAAGCTAATTGTACTAATTGTTAAAAGTAAGAATCCTCAAATACGTTTTCTTAAACATGTAAATCAGATATATAACTATATTGATCATTGTTTTCATCACTTTACTATTATTCTTATGCAACATCTCCTAATTACTTATATTTATAATTAGCCTATATCAATCCAGATATCACTTAAGATGTTTCTTTTATGTTTAATTCATTTTAACTTAATACAACAGTTCCAAAACCAAATGATCTTGCCTTTCTTGCTACTTCTCCTCCTGCATTAAAACATGAACCTTTTACTCCTACTGCTAAACCAACTTTCTCTTCCCCAAATATAAAACTCTACCCACCTTTCACTACATTATGAACTTTTAACCTATGTAAGTGGCGAGAAATATATTATGAATTACATCTATAGAGATTCAAAAATAAGCTTTAAGTCCAATTCGAAGATTAAACTGGAGGCTTATAAGAATTAATACAAAGCTGTTTTACTTTCATTAATTAAATTCTTAGAAAATATATAACCTAGTTGATGACAAGTACTTAAATTTTATCTTTTGAATTTTAGTTTTCTATTAGCTTAATATAATCACATATAAATAAGAAATAAATTCTCAATTTTCTTTTTTTAAATTTACTTTTATTTAAGAATACTCTTAAAATTTAGTAATATATTAATACAAATTAAATGCGAATTGTAAATTCATTTAATATATATATTCAAAGTCCTTTAATTTTTAAAGCATTGGCTCTGTTAACTATCTATTGGTATTTATCTTATATTCTATTTAAACAAGCTAAAAGATATATTATTAAAGTTACAATTTATATCATTATTATTATTATTAACTGGCTATGTTATTGTTGTGCTATTAATTAAATCTTAAGAATGAGAACGGGATAATCTTTTCGAAGTTATTTAACCATCTCTATTACTTTAACATTTAACTTATTGTTTAGATTCATTCTAATTCAATCCTGACTATTTTTATCTTGAGAGATTATTAATTCTCTTCTACTAACTTATAATTGGTTTGAAAGTGCATTCTTACATCTCTTTTTATTATCTTTCTCTCTCATGTATCTTTTTTTTAAATTATCTTTCAAGATAAATATATTATAGTTACTTTCTATCCTCCATTAGCAATCCTTATTGATATAAATCATGTCCTTTATTTTTAATTTCAAATAGACAATTTTGATTTTCTCCTTTGATTTCTTTGTCAAGTTTTGCTATATCTTATTTTAATTTATTTTGCATAATTTTCAATTAATCATGTAGAATGTCTTTTGGTTGTGAAGTAATAGTTTAAATTTCAGATACAGACTCCTATTTTATTTTTTTATTTGAATTTTTAGGGAGATCAATTTTTTAAATTTATTTCTCAACAGTCTTCTTTAAATTTTATTTAGGTTTCTAAATTATTTTGCTGTTTGATTTGGTTCTATCTATTTATTCTTTTATTTATTTTTTTCTTTACTCATACTTTTATTCAGCTTCTTAATCATTCATTTTATTGTAGGTTTTAGGTTAAGAGATCTATGGTGATTCAATATCCTTAAATAATGATTTGTATTAAATTTATATAGGTTCTGATTCTTCTGTATGTTTATTTTTTTAAGGACTACTGACTGGATTAGCTAAAGTTCATATCAAGAAGATACTTATTGATTAAACCACCAAATTAGAATTTGAAAGTTGTTTTTTTTATTTTGCTTCTTTGAGTTTGTTCAAAGTATTTTACAAGTCAATAGCTTATTTAGATAGTGCCTAAGGAATTTAATCCTATTTTCTGACTGACAAAGCTGAAACAGGTGAAAGCGCAGAAGTTGGTACTTTTGTTAAAGGTGAATTAGACATTATATTAATTAAATAACAGAATGAGCATTAAACATTATATAAGAGTTGGAGAATTGAAGTTTTTTGGGATTCACTTCCTTATTAGTTGAATTTTTGGAAACTCATAATCATAATTTGATTAACAATTTGAATAGCAAGTCGAGAATTAATAAAACTCATTTGATTAAATAATATAAAATGAAGAGTCTTATTTATTTTTTATTCTAAATATTCTTATTTGTTGATAAATGATTTTAATGTCTAATTTATTTCTTTTAATATATTAATTTAAGTCAAATTAATAAAGTTGATAAAAGAAACATACACCAACAGAAAAAAATGATAAATATATTATTATATTTAAATTATTTTTTTTTTTATTTATGCAAGTTGCTTGTAGAACTAAAAATGTGAATAAATATTATAAAGTGATTGCTGAAGTAGGCTCAGGAACATATGGAAAAGTATATAAAGCAAAATGTATAAAAACAAAAGATTTTGTTGCATTAAAAAAAATTGATACAAAAGATCAAAAAATAATGTCTGAGGGTAATTGTAGATTATGAAAGAATTAATAGGATTTCCAATAACAGCAATAAGAGAAATAAAATTGTTAAAGATTATGAATCATAAAAATATTCTTCGATTAAGAGAGATAATAGTGAGTAAAGCATCTCATAGAAATAATTTTAGAGGTTCAACATTTTTAGTTTTTGATTATTATGATCATGATTTTGCAGGACTTCATAGATAAAGAAATATATTCACATTACCATAATTAAAATGCATTTTTAAATAACTTTTAGAGGGTGTTAAATATCTCCATGATAGTAAGATTATCCATCGAGATTTAAAATGTGCTAATATTTTAATGAATAACAAAGGTTAAGTAACATTAGCTGACTTTGGTTTAGCTAGAACATTATCAAATGTGAGTAATCCTAAATATACGTACAAAGTAGTAACACTTTGGTACAGAGCACCAGAACTATTATTAGGATAAACTAACTATAATACTTAAATTGATATGTGGAGTCTTGGTTGTATATTCACTGAATTAATAACAGGAGATGTTCTATTTAAAGGAGATATTGAATATCGCTAAATGGAAAAGATTTATGAGCTGTGTGGAAGTGCTAATGAATAGAATTGGCCTAATTGTATAAACTTAAGATAATGGGAAGAATTCAAGCCTAGAAGAAATTACGAAACATAATTAATTAAACATATAAAAGAACTTTGTTAAACATAAAATAAATAAATTGATTAAATCACCTTGGATTTAATTGAATAATTATTAATACTCGACCCTAATAAACGATTAAATGCAGCCTAAGCTTTAAATCATGAATTCTTTAAATAAGATCCTAAACCTTGTTAACCTAATGAGATGCCATAATTCGATAAAGAATTTCATGAAACTCTCTTGAAAAATGAAATCAGATAATAATAGCATAGAAATGATAAAGCTTAATTTAGACCTCAATAAATTTCTTCTCAAAAATTTCAAAAATTGATAAAAGATGAAAGGAACTTAATCAAACCTCAAGTTTAATAATAGTCTCCTTCAAAAGATATAAAAAATAATATAGAATTAGATTATGGTGAATTATTAAAATTCGAAATTTAAGACAAGGAAAGAATAAAAAATAATATAGAATTTGATAATCGTGAATTATTAAAATTCGAAATTTAAGACAAGGAAAAAATAAAAAATAATATAGAATTAGATTATGGTGAATTATTAAAATTCGAAATTTAAGACAAGAAAAGAATTAAATTAAATTGACAATTGGTTTTATATATCAAAATTAGCATTGCTTGTAATATTATTTACCCATTTCTATACAGTTTTAGGCTTCTTATGTTGTTATCATCTCTAAAGTTATTTTATATTCTGTTTTTATCAATTTCTTTGCATCATTTATATAATCATCATCTACCGTCATATGAAATTCTTTAAACAAATTAAAAAAATAATGGTTAAAATTTTATTATGACTATGATATCAACAATTTCTTACATTAACTATAGGTTATTTAAAATAAAATGAGATAACATTACTATTTTAGCGTTTACTACTAATTCTTTTCAAAAATACCATGTAATATAGATATTAAATCGAAATAACCTAAATTTATTATTCTGTCTTCTATGATATTTTTGATTTCATTTATTAGATTCCTTATAACTTAGAATATACCTATTTATCATCCTTAACTAAACATATGAATCCTGGATTCAAAATCAATATTCGTTGTTTTTAAGTACCAATCAGTTTACATCTAAAAATGTTAAACTTTAAATTGTTAAACTAATTTATTTCCACTATCATTTTTTTAAATAAACCTTTATTTTCGTATCTCTTAATTGGATCTTATTTTAAAGAATTTGTTCTCGAATCCTTCTTAAGAATTAGTGGCTATATCTCAATTGGAGAAGCATTATTTAAATGTATATTTTGCAATATATTGGATTCAATTATAGATGATTATCTATATGAAATTGATTACTATATATTTTATGGTTCTTAAGATCTAATAGAATCAAATTAATCATCAGGTTGTTTTTATAACTATTATTGTAATTGTAGTTTATTGAACTTAAAAGGAACTATAATTTAAGAGTTATAAAAACTATTATAAGACCTAGTACTTATCGTATCTTCTTCTGTATTCTAATAAGATGATTATTATTATTGTTAAAAACAGATATAACTTTTTGAAATCTGCTATTCCTATTACAATTTAGAATATTTAACTATTTGAATCGAATTTAATTCATTTTAAACTTTATCTACAAGTTTGTACTACTTAATTGGTCCTCCAACATATTGAACTAATTCTTGTAAATGTTTATTAGAATAGATAAAACATTTCATTTCAGGAGGCATTCTTATTATTCTACATTAAACACATCCATTGTTAGAGCATAATTTACAATAATTAGGTTCTAATTTTAAAGACTCTGTGTAATGAATAGTCAAACAATGAAGTTATTCATAGTAATCCATTAAAATTTTTAATTCTTCTTTTGGTAAATCAAATATTTTTTGGGGAATACAAGCAGATTAAGGTGTATTAAGTTTCAAATCAACTGCTCTATTTATAAAAATAATGCTTACTTTTTATATATATTTTTGACTATTTCAACATTATCTATATATATGCCGCTTAAAGTTTATGGTAAAAGTGATGAATCAATTGATAATAACTTTTATCTAAAATAAATGAGAACTGCAACAACAAAAAAGTAAATCATTAATTAATCCTTTTTGATATATAGCATTTCCCAAAGAAGATAGGTGCATTCTAAAGACATTTTATTTGCAAACAATGTAAGTAACCATGGTGTAGCATATAATTCTGGGGAGAGTAAATTTTTATCCAAATAATCATACAATTAATAATCGTGAAATTTAAGAAGCAAATTTATCCATTAGAAAGCTACTTATAATGATAAAAACTCTTCATCTTTAAAGAAGTTATTATCAAGTATGATTTTACGAGCATATTCATATACTTTTTCCCATGAAAGTCCACTTTCATTAAAGACTGCAACAACTGCAAATATTTCATTCATTCCTTATTTATAACTAACATTCTCCTATTAACAAAAGTAAACAATTATTTTTTCTAGAATGCTATGCATTTGAGGTTATAGTAATTGAGAACGAGTCCGTGGAATATCCATTTTCAAAGTTCGATATTGTGGTTAGTCAACTGATGTTTTATTTATTTCATTAAATTAGGGATGGGGTAATTATGGTGAGTAAGTGCCTAATAGAATCTAAATTTGAAATCATTTCTATACATCCCAAAAGAATGCTGTTTTTGATTACTCTATTTTATTTTGAAACATATAACTGAATATAAATTAAATAAATTATCATCATATAAAATCTCAATCTATTAATTTCCTTAATTAATTATTTACTCTAAGCATTCCTTAATGGAATGCATTTAAACTTTCATTCATAAACGATGGAAATTACAATTTACTACCAATTATCTTTTTATTTAGTTTCCCTTCATTATTTCTCTTAAAAGGAAATAATCCAGTAAAAAGTCTAAATAAAATTACGCCACATGTCCTATATTATCATAATTTTATTTTTTTATTAATTTAGGAAACATGTACGTATAAATTCCACATTAAACACCCAATTCTTTATATTATTACATAGAGTTACCAAAATCAATTAATTTCATTGTTTAAAATATTCTCTCATTTTAGATCTCTTTATATAATATTTTAACTTTGTAACTATGCTTTTGCATTTTTTAATTATTTGCCTATTATTTCAGCTTAGTCTACTTCCTTTATCATTTTGATTTATATACCTTTCAAACTATTGTCTTAAATCATTCAATAAAAATATTCGTTGATATCAAACAGAATATCTTTTTGATTTTTCAATTAATGATATAACATTATTATATTTTCATGTGATATTAATTGTAAGATAAGAATTTCTAGTTTTAATAATTGAGCATTGTCATTATTTCCCTATACTATCAGTACAATTTTAAAAATAAAGCTCTATTCATGAGAGTCAGAAAATTAAGATCTTGAACTATACATTTTTGTAAATTAGTTTTGGCTTTTAAAATTATTCATACTAGAAACTAATAATTTCTTCATTATTCTCACAACAATTTCTAAAAATACCATTTGCTATAGATAAAATCTAAATACTAAAATTGAATTTCATACTCAATTTCTGACATTTGACATTACTATTTATATTCTATAATAATTTAATCAAAAACAAATTATAAGGTCGATAAATCAATAAATTAATATTATTATGCAAAACAGAACAAGACAAAATATAAAATCAAGAAATAAAAATAAGGATAAAAAAAGGAGATTAGTAATGAATAAAAATAATATTGGTCTATATAAATAGAATGCATTTTACTTTTAAATAGTAAGAATCAATACAAAAAAATTATTATTTGAATCAAACAATTCTATAAATTAGAGTTTATAAAAGAAAATACACTACATAAATAATTAATCGATATAATATATCAGGCTTAATTTTTAGTAGATTAATGATTAGCTTTATCTTATAAATAATTGCTGTGATGAACATCTATTAGTTTTTTCTAAAGATCCGATATTTGGGATATCTTTTCGGCTAATTAATTATTTTAGTTGTCTATTTTTTTTTATGAAAATTCAATTTTTTATGCTAAATCTCTTTCGATTATATTTTTTTCAATTTGAAGCTATTTAACTTCTGATTCTAATTATTATATTTTTTTTTCTTTAGCTCTTTAATCTAATTCAAAAGATTATTTTAGATATTGTTCTTTTTATTTGACAGTATGATCATATTCTTATTTGATTTTTTATTTTTCTTTATTTTATTTATCAGCCAGATGACCCATTTTATGTTCTAAAACTTAAACGGATATCAATTATTATTTTTATGAAGTAATAAGTTCAGTTTATCTTTTAATCTCATCTTTAAGAATGTTAAGACTACTTTCTCTTTCAGAGAGTAAATCAATTGCAAAAGTGAATTCACTTTTCATTTCTTCCATTGCTTTTTATGTATAAGTAGTAAGTAATTCAATTTATTTTTCATTATTACTAATTTTAATTTCCAAATTTTAGATTAATAGTTTTAATTACTGATTCTCTCTAATCATTTTTCTCATATCCATTTCACTTTTATGTAATAGCCAAATATAATCTTATTATTCATCATCATTACATAACTTATATGATTGAACCTCTTCTTCAGTCTAAATGATACCCCTATGATAATGATTAAATATACTTAATATAAGTAGCAAGCATTTCTTTTATTAACTCAATTAAACGATGAGGATCTAATCTAGTGTATCCAAATTCATTTGATTTTCTATTCAATTTTTCATTTATATCATTGAAATCCTGTTTTATACTTAAATACTTACATAATATCTATTATTGATTTCTAAAAATAAGGCTTAAACTTTTTAGACTAAATCATTATATTTTTTTTCCATCTTTAAATAATCTTCTTTTTCAACATACTTTTCTGGATCAAAAGACATTTTATAATGTTTAGGAGATTTCTACTACTTAATAATAGATGGTTTTTCTGTCTAAGTAATTGAGGATAAATTAGGTTTTTTTATTTTTTTTTAATCTGACATTATTATTATATAAAATAGATGATTTGCAAAAAAATACTAATGAAGAAACAAAATGATTTATAAAAATTAAATGATCCTACTATGATTTTATAAAAAAATATGAATGATATCCTTATTTGGTATGTCTATTATTAGATTCTAAAGAAATACTATTTGAGAAAGGAATATTTAAAGTTTATTTATTCTTTTAAAACACAGATTAAAGTTTATATACCTCCAAATTACAGAAATTCAATTGTTGTAATAATCAATATAAAAAATAAGTTGATCGGTCTATATAATTTAGAGAGATATTGAAGGTTGCATTTTTGTTGGTTTTTGAAAGTAAAGAAAATGACAAAGTTTTAAGAATATTCTGGGATGATAAGCAATTTTAGAAGTGATTGATCAATAGTATAAATATTGATAATATGAGATTCATATAGTTTCACAATAGGTTTAAATTAATGATTATAAAACAAAAAATTTGAGTTGGATTCAAGATGATGAATAATCTATAATATAATAAAATATAAATTTAAGAGACAATAAAAGATTAATTAGAAATATTCTTAAAGAGATAATATTAATTCAGTGTATTAGAAGAAATAATTTAGATTGAATTTAATATTATAGATGAAAGAAGTGAGTGAGAAATCTTCAATAGTTGATGGTAAACGTAAACGTGTAATGTCTGTGCATGGAGTGATGTCCGTTGTAACAAAGGAACTATTAAGAGAATAAAGAGCTTAAGTTCCTTAAGTTTAAAATACAGTGATTAGAAAGCAAGAAAAAAATAAAAAAGTCATCGAAAAATAATAATGTAAGAATGATAAAAGGGTGAGAATAACTAAATCAGCATTAAAAGAATTAATATAAAGTCATTTTATTGTGGTAGATGATAATGAAGATGCTATGATCTAAAGCAGCAAGTATTAAATTATCCGATTTAAATAGATAATTTAATAACTCACTGGTTAGAAATTAAAAAATATCAAGTTCATCATCAGATTCTCAATCTGATTCTTCATCATCATCTAGGTATATATCAGTTTATATATAATCTCAAGTTTTTGAAGAAGAAGATTGTTGATGTTAAAATTTATATAAATATAAATATATAATATATATTATATATATATTATGAATCAAACATTAATGAGATTGACTCTAACTCCTAATAAGATGATTGTACAAATTTAAAGAAACTCTAGATAGATCCTGACTCTTAATTCACTAGAATATCTAACAAATTGATTATTGATAGAGGAAATATGAAAATGTGGGAAAGTAAAGAAAAGTTCGATTAGAGTTTTCAACCTAGAAAGATTTTTGGTATTTTAGGTATATTTGAAGTAAGTGGAAAACCTGTCTTATTGTATATAGAAGATGTATATATGATTGGTGAATTAGAAGGATGGCCAATCTATCAAATTACAAAAGTAGGATATGTAGATAAAGTATATTTTAGTTTTATCAATATAGAAACATTAAGAACCAGAACATGATAATTTTGAGAAAGATTAATTAGAAAAAGTGAAGAATTTATTTATAAACTCTTTTTATTTTAGTTATGGAATAGATTTAACTAGTTAATCAAATTTTTAACATAATCGTTTTTGGTGGAATAGTAATCTTTGTAAGATGTTTCCACCGGAATGGTAATTGAAAATTATTTAAGGTTATGTTGGGATATTCTAAATAACATTAAAAAATTTAAATTAAATTAAATATTGTTTAATTAGTCGAAGATCTTTCTATAAAGGAGGTTCTATTAGAAATGATACAGGAATAGATTCTGATGGTAATGTTGCTAATTACACTGAAACTGAATAATTACTTTATATGAATAACGAAAAAGCTAAATAAATTTTATGTAGAGGTAGTGTTCCTCTTTTTTGGTAATACAATATCTTTAATAATTCTATTGTTATCAGTTAAGAAGATCCAAAAAAAGCACTTAACAAACATTGTCAAATACTATTGTCAAATTATTTCAAAATCCTTTTTGTTAATTTAATTGATGATGATTCATAACTCTCAAATTAATTAGATAGATATCTAACTGAATCTGATTAAATGAATATCTACAAATTCAATTTTAAAAAAACATTTCTCAATAAAGATTTAGATTCTATTAATAGATTCTTAGAAAAATTAATTGATTAAGTTGATTTCTCTTCTACATTAGGAGTAAGACAACAAAATATTATAAGAATTAATTGTTATGATTGTTTAGATCAAACTAATATTATTATGACTAAAATTGCAATGATAGCAATCTAAAAAATGCTCTAATCTTTTAAAGTGGATATTCTCGAAGAATTTAATACCTAATAACTTTATGTTGATTTAGATATTCCAAGCATTCATAATATTCATCCATTTCTTATCTATTTTAAATCTAAATGGATGGAAAATGGAGATCATTTAAGATTAATATATAAAGTTGGTTAATAAAATAGTGATTTAAATTAATTTTATAAAAATATGGTAGAAGAAAAACAATTAAAAGAAGTTATTCATCGAATTCTAGGATTTCCTATTTCTGAAAGTTAATCTAATGAAAATATAATGATGCTTGAAAGAACAATGAAAAAGAGAGAAAATGAATATACTTAATTATTATAAAAGAGTGTTTATGTAGTTACTTGGAATATTAATGCTCATTAACCAAATGATAAATAATTGTATAATTAATTATTTTAATTTACAACTCCTCCTCATATTGTTGCTATTGGATTTTAGGAATTAGTTAAATTAAATACTCTAACAGTAGTTGGTAGGTAGAATAGAGATGTTGTGGAAAATTGGAAATAGATTCTATACAATTGTCTAAATACAAAAGCAAAATATGTATTAGCAGCTTAATAAGTTATGGTTGGTACTTTCATTTTAGTGTTTGTTTTAGATGATGAAAAATTACATATTTCAAATGTTAAAACTGAAATTGTCAAATATGGATTTGGATAATCATTAGGAAATAAAGGAGGAGTGGTAACAATAAATTATATAAATAGATCATTAAATTACGATTCTATGATAGTAATATCTGTTTTATTAATGTACATTTACCAGCTGGATAAAAATGTAATGATGATAGAATAGCTGCATTTGATTACATTCATAATAGAGCTGAATTAAATTAATGTGATTGGGCTATCACATTTGGAGATATGAATTTTAGAATCAATTTAGCTCAACAATCTGTTGTAGCAAGTATTTAAAATTATCAAAATATTTAAATTCAAGAATAAAAAGATGCAATCTTAAAACATTTAAAAGGTATCTTATCATTAAATATAAAAGAATATGATTAATTGCATTTAGAAAAATAAAAATCTTAATATTTAAAGTAATTTAATGAAGCTGATATTTAATTTTTACCAACATATAAATTTGATATTGGAACTGAAATCTATGACACTGTGAAAAAAAGAGTACCTTCCTTTACTGATAGAATTCTTTTAAAAAAAATCTAAAAAGTTGCCATCCATTCAGTTGAATGGTATGATAAAATTAAAGGAAATTTTTAAGTATCTGATCATAGACCTGTTGGTTGTTTAATATCAACTTAAGTTTGTGAAATTGATAAAAAGAAAAAAGAAAAATTATTTAGAGAATTAATATAATTAGAAGAAGATGAATAATATGGGCACTAATATTTTCCAAATATTTAATCAGTAAAAAATTTTGAGCCATGTATGAAATATAGATAAAGAGCTACTTAATTAAAAATAACTTTAAAGACAAATAAAGAACTATTAATGTAATTATGTAACCCTGAATTTGAATGAAAAAATAAATATATATCAATAATTTATTGTAAAATATTTGAAGATTTTTATTGTCTTAAGAACTTCAATTCTAAAATCGAAAGTCATATATTCAATATAAAATTATTACAATTTCCTTTAGAAGATATAATTCTAAATTTTTTATTGGCTAAAAAAGTAAATGTATAAATCATATATTTAAGAAAGAATTAATTCTGTTATTTAATTCTATTTAATCAGCCTTTTGGAATAGATACATCAAATATTATATTCCATTTAGTATATTATTGAATTTAATTTTCTGTAAAACTATAAATATTACACAAGTGTTGCTCCTTTCACATTCTTCACTTTTTTAAATAAAAAATAGTCAACTTTTAAAAAGATTAAATAGTGTCTCTATTATTTTTTATATTGAATTGTCATCAAAAATCAACAATGTCAATTTTATTATGAGAAGTTCCTTTAGTTTGGATAAAATTCTTAATAGATAGTGGTTTATTATATTAATATAGTTGATTGATGATTAAATTTATATATTGAGTTATAAATCCTATAGAAATCATTTACTATTATTTTAAGAACAACGGTAATCATAAATTTTAATCCTACAAATATAATTATGATTTAGCTATATTTCTAAAATACTATAAATAAATTTTTAACAAAATTATGAATTTGTAGATAGCATATATCTCATAATATTGTATTATCTATATTTGTTAAACAAAGAAAACTTAAATGAATTTGGGAGTTGATAGTTTATAAAAAAAATAAATAAAAACATTAAATTAAAATGAGCAGTACTAATCGTGCCTTTCGAATGAAATAAGTATAGAGTCCAAGACTATTTTCTGATCATCCACTTAAAACATTGCCTGATGAAAGAACAACTACAGTTTTCAATCAATCTCGAAAAATGGAATCATAATGTAGTTATGACAATGTTAACAATATTTATTAATATTAAAGGCTATTGAAAATAGACTCTATTACATAGAATAGTTAGCTGAATCATTGAAATGTAGCACTTCTGTAGAATAGACTAGAATTATGAGTAGTCTACAAGAGATCGCGAAAACTCTAAAAAGCATTTCTAAAACTGAAATTGAATTAAATTAAAAGAACAAGTAATTAGATCAGGTGACTATGGAGAGTGTAATGTAAAAATAGACAATACAAAAATTAAAAGACTAATAAGTATAATTTTATGGATATAAATTTAGAATCATTACAAAATGGACAATGAGGGATATTTGAAATAATTAAGTCTCTCTTAATAAGATTAACATAAATTATGTAGAGATTTATTACAACAAAAAAAATTAGTGGAAGAACAATACAAAAAAATAAAGTTCTTAGAGAAGAGAATAGAAATGATGTTAGAGAAAAATCTATATGTAATTGTGATTTAGAATAGATTAGTCTCATTCTGAAGATTTGAGGAATACATTATCAGAATTGATTAGAGATAATGAATAACTCAAAAGGGACTTAGTAAAAAAAGAAAAGGAGAATGAAAGACTAAAGGATTTGAATTCTAAATTAATTTAATAAAATAATAGATTAACTAAAAAATTAGATTCCTTAAAAACAAAAAAAATAGGAGTTAAAGAAATTATAACTGAAAATTAATAGATTTCAAATTATGCTTTTAATCCGAATACATTACCTAATAATTTAGAATTTAGATTGAATGATCTTGATAATGATGATTGTGATTTTTTATTAGATTTAATTGAACATGGACCAGAAGTATTTACAAATTAAGTTGTTACATTAGATTCTATTTAATAAAAGAAGGATCTCATTAATTTAGTAGCATGTATTATTTTTATTTTAAAAATCATATTAGCTCAATTTATTAGTGCAAGAGACTTTTCTGAAAAAATCAATTAAATTATGAATGAATTTATAACAATGATAAGTTATAAAAGTATTTAAGATTTTCAAATTCATGTAAGTAAGGCATTTAGATCTATATTTGGAACTGAAATTGTTCATTTATGGATTATTGATGGAATGACATGTAGAGCTTAAACATATGATTGTAATGGAGTTTAACATGTCGCCTTACTTACTGATGGAGTTTTTAGTTAATTAGTATTTGAAGATTATGGTATAAGAAGTCCATCCAAAAAACAAGAATTACTATATATAACAGAATACAATGAAGTATTTGGTAAAAACTTTCTATTACTTCCTATTATGGGAAATAGTTAAAAACCTTGCGGAATACTTGAAGTATTCTACAATAATATTCATAGATATAAAATATCTAAGAGAATTTATTCTTAGATTCATAATATTATGGACTATTGATAAATATGCTAAGTAAATCAGTTGTTTAAAGTATTTTGGATTTTGAAGCCTTAGTTAAAGAATTGAATTATAGAGATCTCTTTTATAGATGCTTTAATAGATTGATTTTGTGTAAAGATAAAGAACATTTTTGTTCAGCATTATAAGAATCTGCTATGTAAATATTTTAAATTGCATAAACTAAACTCTTATTTATTGAAAATAATTAATTTTGGATATATGGTAAAACTTATTAATTACAGGCTGGATGTGCTTATTAAATTTATTTAAAAGGTAAACCTCAAATCTTTACTTAAATCACAAGATAAGATCATTTTGATGAAAATACAGACATTTCTTCAATATTACCAGTGTTTATTGCACCAATCTATTTAGATGAAAAAATTACAGCTATCCTACAATTTATACTCAAAAAAAAATAAATGACTGACAAACATCCATTTGGAAATTAAGCCAACATTGGATTCAGATTAGACACAATTGATTAAGATGCTCAAAAGTTTTATGAAATTGTTTAGAATGCCTTCTAGATTGTATTTAGATGAATTTATATATACATTTATATTTTTTATTTATACAATTATTTATCAAATTAATAAACTCATTTCTATTATTCCTGATTCAATTAAATCTATGGTAAATAATAATCAAATTTATATGGTTATTAATCTTTCAAAATTTTATCAAATCTATAATTAGAAATATACATTCTGATTATTTAAATTCAAATTATTAATTGGATTGAGTTTATCAATTATTTCGATGAAAGATCAATTTTTTTTAGATAAGTTATTTTTTTGGATGTTTATTAAATAAATTATTAGAGATTAAATTAGACTATCAATAAGATTAAAAAGGCTATGATTTATTAAAATTTTTATTTTACTTAATAATTTATATTTTAAAGTCTATTTCATAAGCTAAACAATCATAATATTCAAGAATTTATTTATAATATTATTTGGACTTAATTATATGGAGATAATGATATTGCCAGAAATAGATTTTTCATTTTTGGAGAGCGATTGAAATTGATTAAATTTAAATAATAATTACATAATAAAATGGATGTTCCAATAAATAACTTCAAGGGAGTAATGCTTTGTAATAGGCCAAATGAAAATGTTATGATAGTAAAGGAGAAGTATTAATTATAAATATTTAATTAGACCTTTCTGTTCTAGAGTTTAACCTTATGATCAATGGGGTTTAACAAAAAAATATGAGGAGCCAAAAGTAATTGTAGCTACAATGAATCCAGTTCTAGAAAGACATAAGAAATGGCTTGAAGAATTCAAATTACAAAACTAAATGAAAAAATATGCCAAAGAAGAGTAATAAGTTCAAGAAGATGAAAAATTTCAAAGAGTTAGAGATTTAGCCAAGAAAGATAGAGAAATGACAAAAAAAATGAAGGAAGAATACAAATAAATCAATGAAATTATCAAGAAAGAGTTACATGAAGATGTGCCGAAAAGCAAAACGTGAGGCTGTTATCTTAATTTCAAGAGTATAATTGACTGCCGAAAATCTTAAGAAATTAGAAGAGAGAGATACCATAAAATAGTAAGAAATCAAAAATGATAATAAAATGGATACAAAATAAGGAGATCAAAAGAAGAGATACAAAACAAAACCAGTTTGGGCTATGACTAAAGAAGTTATTTATCATATTTTATATTATAAAAGGAAGAAGAATAACATACCAAACAAGAAGAAGATGAATTACTTGATTTTGTTGAAAATTTAGACTATGATTCATATATAAATGATTTAGAAGTAATCCATTAATATATATGAATTAAAAAATAGGTTAATGTTATGTTAAAAGCATTATAATAAAGAGTTTCTGATATAAAAAAAGAAGAAAATTGGAAAGATAAATTAGATTAAGGAGATAAGAAATAAGAATAAAGAGAACCTGATATTTATGATAAAATTAGTTAGTCTCTTGGAAAAAATGATGAAGCAAAATCAGTACATTCTGAAAAAACTTAAAGTAAGTATTCAATTAATTAGATTCATTAAATTAATTGAGAAAGAAATAAGATTTAATTTAATAAGGTAAACAAGATTGGGATAAAACTACTACAAATGGAGATCAAAAAGTTTCTTTAGAAGATCGAATTGCTAAACATGTTGCTGATGAAATTCTTAATCAATATAAAGTAACACATTTTATATATATGAAATTCATAGAATATATCAAATGTTCATTCAAATTCATCAATTAGAAAAATTTTGGAAAGAGAAGCTAAGAAAACTTTATAAGAGTAATCTGTTCCTGGACCTGTGATTTCAGTTATTAAAAATGAAAAAATGCCTAAGGATCCAAATACTTTACCATATTTGCATCGGAATCCTGCTATTTGATTTATTTAATTTAATTTTAATAAAAAAATGGAGTTTTTTGAATAATTTAATAATAAGGAAATTACAGAAGAGAGATTTGTTGAATAATTACAAACTCTAACTACTAAAATACAAAAAAAAAGTACATTGAATTCAGAATAAATTCTTTAAATAAACTAATAAATTGAATAAATCGATGATTCATGTTTCAATTCTAATGTTGAATTATTCATTAAATTTGCTCTATATATATCAAATAGAGGTGTCTATGAATTACTATATTAATTGGGTTGGGATAAAATTCTATTACAAAAAGATAATAATGATGCAAATTTATTAGGATTATATATTATTAAACGTGTTTATTATTCTGAGAATCATAAAGTTCTTATTATCTTTTTAAATGAGTAAAATAAACATCACTAATTATTAGTATATTAAGATAACAAAAAACAGTTGAAAAGAAATTTGTACTTCTAGAAATATATGTATAAATACTTCCTAAAATAGAAAAAAGAGAAATTCATTTAGCAGTAATATTTCCTGTTATTCTAATTGTTATTAATGAAGGATTGCAGAAATTCTTAAAATATAAATAATAGTAAATTCAAAATGATTTGAATGAAGATAATAAATTTACTAAATTGTATATGAACAATTTTCAAAATTGGACTGTTTCATTTTTTAAGAGAATTTTTGATTCAATTAAAAAATTTCCTGAAATTAAAACATAATTAGTAGCTATACGTGAATTGTATGGTATTGATACTAAATATGATTATTTTGATAATTAATTAAGTAGAAAACCTGAGGAACCAAAGTTATTAGTTAAGCATTATACTTTATTATTCTTATCAGATTTAATATAAGGGATTTTGGAGGCTGAATAAACTATGAAGGATTCTTAATTGGATTAAGAAGTGATATAAACATTATTGACTTAAACAAATTAAATGGTTAATGAAATTCATGATAATAAATTGGAGATAATAGAAAATTATATAAATTGGATAAGATTCAGTATTTAATTTGATAAAGAATTACCTTAACAATATTTGAGTTATTCAAATGAATAAACATATAATCCAGCATTTGTTTGTTATTTGACAAAAGAATTATTGATAAATAGTAGTTTGGAGTAAATATTAACAGTAGATTATAAATTGAAAATATTGATAGGAGTTTTGTATGAATAAAAGAAGTTAACAGCATTTAAATGTGATATACAAAGTAAATTAATAGAATTGATTGTTAAGTATTTAAATTAGAGAGATATTACAATGAAATTGAAGGCAGCGAATCATTTTACAACACCATTTGATTAAATAATAATATTAATAATGGAGAAAGCAGGTTCAGGATTGGCAGATGAGAAGCCATATATATCAGCTTGGAAAAAAGCACAAAATTCATTTATACCAGAGGCATGGACAAGAATATTAGAATAATGTATAAATAAATCATAAAATTATGTTTTGTTATCACATTTAGTAAATCATTTTAGAAGTGCTCAGGCATAAATAGAGAATGAAATATTATTGAAGAATTATGATATTTTGATTTAAGCAATATATAGAAAAGAGATAGGAAATATTGATGAGAAATTATTATTATTTGATTCTGCAACATTTTTATTATAATAATTGGTAATAATTTATATGAGTATAATAGTAGTTAAAAAAGGCAGAGATGAAAAATTAATTTGAATAGAGATGGAAACCTTTATTAAAGAAATATGAAAAAGATTTATAGTAATCGATAGATTATTTGGAAATAAAAAAGAAAGAAGGAGGTTAGTAAAAATTAAAGGAGGATTAAGTGTTTTAAGGAATCTTAGAATAAGAGAGAAATTTAAAAATTTCTTATTACAATTTAAACTAGGTGTTGTAGTGAAAAAAGATGAAGATATATATATAGATATTAATCATTAATTCAAATAATTTTTATTTGAAATTTGAACTCCATGTAAATGAAAATCTTTAGTAATGATTGCTAATTCAATATGAATATTTCCTGTAGATTCAACTTTAAAGCCAAATCTACTTTCTCCAGAGAATAACAGATCTCTATGAACTAATTCAGGGAAAGCACCAATAAGTTTATCAAAGAAACTAGCTTAAGGTCTCCAACAAGCTATTAATATAATAATAATATAATTTACGAATGTCAAATTGATATTCACCAGGTTCAATAGGAAGTGAAGTGAGACCATAACCAGCAAGTGAATTTCTACCTTAATCATCAACTTCCCATACTTCTACAAGTAATTTAGGCCATCCTCTAACAGATTTAGTTACATAATTAAGATCAATAGGATGTTCAAGAGGTACAAATTTTGAATGTTAAGAAGATGATTAAAATGTCTCTCCTTCTTCTTATCCTGATATCTTTTTCCAATGATCTCCAACTCTAAAGAAATATTTGACATAAATAGATGAATGTGTAAAATTAGTAGCTCCAGCTATTTTACCAACAATGAAAACTTAAGGACTATCTGCAGACATTTTGTAATATTAAATTGAATAATAATAATATTTATTATTTTAATCAACAATGAAAAAATATGAGATATATATTATTCAAAAATGATGTATTACTATTTTCATTTTCATTCTTTATTATCTTCATAATCATAATTAGGAATCTAATCATCAATATGTTAAGCTAATGAAACACTTAATGGCATATCTCCATATTAAAGTACCCTATCTGTAATATTGAAATTCTCTTCATCTTCAAGAACTGATTCTGTTCTATTAATAATTGCAGTATTAGTATTATTCTTTCTATTCTTGATTTCTTATTTTTTAAAATATACTGCAACTAACATAAACAATAATCCAGCAAAAGAATAATACATTAAAGTAATTACAGCAACTTTTGCACTATATCTTTCCATAAGAAATCCATAAATAGATGGTGCTGGTAAAAATCCAAATAGATTTTAAAACATTGTGGTATTTGAATTTGCGAATGCCTTTAAATGTTTTGGAACTGACGATAACATTATTCCCATTAATGGAGGTACTATTGCACCACCAAAAAATAATAGAAACCAAACACACATTGCACCAAACCAAAATGTTTCTGTAAATGGAACTGGAACTGCACTCAAACAACATATAGAACAGTATAATACACAGATATATAATGATTTTGTTCTTTCATAACCTCCCAATTTCTAAGCTATTAATCCACCTGTTATACAACCAAATACTGGTGCTGTTATTGAAACTACAGCAAATACTATATTAACTGTATTCTTATCTTAATGCATCTCACTTATCATATAATCAGTCATCCAAAATTATATTCCAGTTACTATAAAATACAATATACTTATCACTATTGTACAACACAACCATAATTTTATAGAATATAATTCTCTCATCATATACCAATATGATTTATTCGAATTTACACTTAACATTGATGAACCTAATTCTTCAGCATTCACTGATTTCTTCTCAAATTTACTTCTTCTTGCTTTTTTTATTTCAAAATCTTTTGTTCTTACAAAAAATATAAAAAATAATGCACATGGAATTAATAATGCAATCTAAGCATAAAATGCTAATTGCCAATCCCATATACTCGAAATAACACTTGATAATACGTATCCTACAAATATTCCCAATGGAATCACCCCCTATAATATTGTTAACCATATTGTCTTTGATTCTTCACCAAAATTATCCACCCAAACAGGAAAATAAATCATCATCGGTGCCTAATGAATATTATTACTTTATTTACTTATGCACATCCTGTTAAAAATCTACTCAAATAAAATAACCAACTACTCTTGTAATGTTAAGGAAACATTAATAAAGAACCTAACATTCCAAAATAACTAATTGTTATTATTAGCTTAGCATTAAAATGTAAAAATAGCTTTCCACCAAATAACCCAACCAATGATATACCTGCATAAACTAAAGACCCCAGGTATCCCAATTCCTCAGCACTCAAGTTTAGAGATGCCTCTATCTATTAAGTTGCTAAATATTATATTTATCATTCTCACCTGCAGGAATAATTCCATGATCCAAATTTATTAACACATTTGTACTTAGAATTAGAGAAAATATCCATTTATATTTAATTTCCATTATTTTTATTAACTAATTTTCAAATCCCATAATGAAATCAATAAATTCATTCTATAAAACTATAACCCCCCAATTATTTAATCTTTTCTATTATTTTAAATATGTTATTTCTTCATAACATAAAAAACTAAGAACTTTTCAAATCATTTTAATTTTGAAATTATTTAACTA